GGGTGGGAAAGACGCCCCACCCCCTCTAGCGGGGAAACAAAGAATCGAACCTGGAAATTAATGTTCTTAGCGTAAAGCGGAAGCCTGCCTTGTTAACTGCACACAAATTTGCGAAGCTCAGTTGGGCAACGGCTGGCTGGTGATTGCATGTTTTTTATTTGCTGCTTTCAAAAAATATTTTGGCGTCAAAACATTGTAAATATCAAAGAAGGTAGATAATTTTTGCGTCCCTTGCTATAGTCGTGATACATTAACATGCGTGTACTGTGTCCCAAACAGTTTGTTTCAGGGTTTAGCTTTATGGCTAACAAATGGTGCTGATTTAATGTTACTTCCGTACCTTGGGGTAAGATGCCCCCTGTCCTGATGGGGAAAGACGCCCCCCTAAATCCGTAGCTGTCCTTCAAGCAGCCCGTCAAATCATTTATTACATACTTGTGATGAGAGACAAAAGCCGATCTGGGACTATTGAGAGTCCGGTACGGTCGGGTGCTCCCCATGCCGGTCTTTCGGCCCACACAGCGACTTTTTGGGCGGCATCTGACTCTGAGAGCCCTCACGACGGCCTCTGTGGGCCCCATTATTGGTTCCAGGGCCCCTCATGACATCCTTTGAGGGCTCCCACGTTGGCTCCACGGGCCGCGCTGGCATCTGAGGTCCCCACGATGGGCTCGAGGGCCCTCAAGCATCATAAAGACCTATAAGGGTCCCACAGTGGTCTCCGAACGCCACCACGGAGGCTTGTTTGGCCACGCTGGACTATGATGGCCCTAACGATGACCTCTGAAGCCCCTTACGACTACTTTTGAGGGCCCTTACGATGACGTTTGGTGTCTACTGCAGGCTCGAAGGGACTACTGATTCGTTCAGGCGATTCACGTGCCTATTTATGTCACCTATAGTGCAGGGGGCATCTTACCCATCGCCAGGGGGCGTCTTTCCCACCCTGTGGGGTAAGATGCCCCCTTTCACTTCTTCAGGAAAATGCTTAATAGCAAAAAAATTATCATATTTCAGGCACGAAAGTGTGATATTTTTGGAGAAAAATGATGTCGGCTTCCGTTGTAACTCCAAGTTTTGGCTTTCCGATCGTCATTTTCGAAAAATATATGACATAGTCAAACCCTGGGCATCTTTCCCCACTCTCCCCTACGGAGTTCAACTAGACGATCTGGCAACTTTAGGCTGTGTGGAAGCAATTAGGTGCCAGATACAGATATTAGGGTCGAATAAGCATTTTGGGGCTGATCAGCAATTAGGTGCCAGAAACAGCTTTTTAGGGACCAGAAACAAATATTCCCCTTTTTATTTCTGTTGGTTGGAGTTTTTATTCAAAAGATTTCGGTCTATACCATTGATATTTACTGAAAATACCTTCGCTTGAATAAATTGCAGATATTTGGCAACTGAAGTGTTAGGTAAGCCTAAATAATATGTAAAAAGGTAAGAGACACCCTGATTATCATTTGAGAAACGAAAATATATGAATTTTCTTTATAAGACTCGCTCAATATGCTACTCCGCGGTTTATGCCCCGAGGGTGTCCGAGGGTTCCCGTTAGTTTGTCGTTGGCGCTCGGCTCGTGCGCGAGCCGACGTCACCGCCTGTGACGTCGGCTCGCGAAATACGTCATACCCTGCACACAAAATAGCCGGCTGCCGGACAGCGCTCTGGGAACTAGATGTGTCGCAGCGCCCAAGCCCAGGCGGTGCTGTCGGGGCGCCGTTCCCCCGCCCCAGAGTGGTGCTACCGGTCCCGGCGAGACGTTCAGAGCGCGCGCTGGCCGGAGCGGCGTTGCAGAAGCGCCGCGTGATGGTCCCAGTCGCGTGGCCGAGGAATCGCATGCTCTCAGCGACACCGAAGAGGACCTGCTCATGGACAACGGTCAGCGCCGAGCGTCGGTGTCTCCGCGTTCGGGCTCCGGCGATGAGGTCCACGGGATGGGTGCTGGACCGAGCACCGGCCCTGCCGGCGCTACCGGGCCGCGCGCTGGCCCCAGTAAACAGGGACAAACTCAATAAACAGGGACTGGTGTTTAGCGTAACAATTGAGTGTTTGCCAATGAAGCAAAATGTAATAGACAATTTTCATCCAAGGTTGTTTTCAGCAACTATTAAAGAAGCACAGTTAAGCAGCACACGCAAGGTGTCATAGCATAATGTCAAATTCGGCCTTTTAAGGGTGGAATTGTGCTTTTCAGGACCTTTTGAACACAGGACATGTAATATGACGGGTGAATGAAACAGTTGGATATGTGCATCACTGACAAGGCAGGTGGATATATCTACCTGCCTGGTGGATCATATATGATCAACACTAACAAGTTGAAACTAGAAAGCTAAATATTCAGCGATATCAGTTCCTTGTGACAAAGCAAGATTCTTTAAGCAAGGATATGTCTTTGAAAGTGGCAAAAAGAGGCTGAGGCTTCTACTTTAAAGGGACCCTCCCACCTTAACATTAGATTTGAGTTGAGATAGCCAAACGGGGTCCCTGGCTCACAATTACCGGTTTCGGCACTCACAACATCGAGAAATGTCTTAAATCGGAAATATTGAATTTCAAAATTGCAGCATTTTGATTCAGAGGGGCTAATGCTAAGGAATACCCCTCTGAATGTGTGACGTCAGCGCAGATATCTAACAATTTTTAAATGTTTGACTAAAACGTTTTGTAGCACGCGGTGGTATATGCTATTTGCGCGCAACATCTGCCGCAAACGCCGCACTTCTAAAATAAAGTCGCTAGAAACAGCGGAGATCCCAAAAAAGTAAACAAAAGTAAAAGTCTAATATCTTGAAAACCAGTGAATATTTTTCGGTGAAATTTGGTAGATATTCGTTTTCGCTCTTTCTGAACCGAGCGACATCACTTTCATGCCAATTCATAAACTTTTTTGAAGGTGGGAGGGTCCCTTTAATATTTGTTAGCTGACAGTACACTGTACAGTGAATTTTAGCTGACAGAAATTATTTTAGCTTCCATCACTAGTTTTAGCTGAGAGAAATCCAACCATTCAAAGCATTCGGACTAAATTTATATAAAAATTATTGACTGTTACCAGAGGAAGTAATATCGGCCAAAATAAACAAATAATTTCAAAAACAAGTTAGATAGACACTGCCAGAATGAAGATGGAAGACGAAGTCATGTGTGCATCAAATGGATGAAGTCTAACTAAAGCCTATACCTAGTATGCAACTTTTAACCCGCGCCCTGCTGGGGGGGGGGTGTTTGAACACCCCCCCTTGTGGTTTTTTGCGAATATCTCAAAAACGGCGGCGCGGAGCGCCGCCGTTTTTGGTACACCTTATAATACATCAATTCTACACATGTTGTGAAAATTTCAGACCAAGGTCATTCAAGGTCAGGTCACCAAGTCACTTGAAGTGACCTCACCTCATAAAAACTTTCAATGTCTGTCATAGCTACACCGAGTGACCGATCGCTTTGAAACTTTCAGCGATTGCTGAGAGCAATAGCATGTACAAAATGTATATCTCAGAATTTTGATATTGATGACCTAAGGTCAGGTCAATTTTGCGACCTCCCCATTATAAGTCAATGGGAGAAAATTGAAATGCGCCTCTTTTGGATGAAAGACATTATAAACACTCCCAAACACCGAATTACAAGTGGTTTAGACACACTGAACTTGAAAATGGTGTCCGTGACCCTTGTTTATGCCCTGAGGTCATCTTAGGTCACGAATGGTATCTAACAGTTTTTCGCAAATAACTTTTGATAGAGGCATGCTAGAGCGATGAAAACGCCTTAGATGTGTTCAGCTCGACGATACGGATCGACTGATATGCAACATGACCCTTTCCGGTCAGGCCATGACCTTGACCTGAGGTCAAATTTTCAAGTTGACCTTTCAAGGTCAAGTCATAGTTCATTCGATGCGTCTTGACGAGAGGAACACGATGCCGGTAAAAGTAAGCTCGTACAAGGCTTGGGTCAAAAGTTATTGCAGAAAAACTGTTTTCGAAAAAATCGGCTATTTTTGCAGTTTTTGCCCCCTGCATGCAAAACCGTTGACGTTAGGTCAAATCTGAGAGAATTACTCAGAAAGGGCGTTAATAGGGCTATCGAATGCGCTTTTCCGCGGCGCTGTAGCTCTATTGGTTCCCGAGTTATGCGTTGGCTTCTTGGAAATTTTCGACATTCGACCTGGAAATCGGCGAAATTTTGCCTTCAATGACCTCTGGTGACCTGACCTTTGACCTGACCAAAAAATTGACCGAAGTGATTTCGTCATTATTTTTGACGCTCTTTCGAACGCCGCCTTCCGCGTATCGCTACGTGGCCCAGGAGCCGAGTTACAAGGGGGGGGGGTGTTCAAACACCCCCCCCCCAGCAGGGCGTGGAAATCCAGGACCCCCAGCAGGGCGCGGGTTAACACTGAATTAGAAAAGCATGTGGTACTTTTCCTAGCTATATACAAAAATGGGGACTTTGAATCAGGATTGCAAATGAGTGAGGGCAAACTTTAAAAATGGTTTTGATTTTATCAACAAGTTAAGTGAGCTCCGTCACATCAATTACTCAACAGCTTTGAAAGATAAAGGCATGTACCTCATACCTGTACCATGATTTATTTACTGCTTCACAGCTCGATTAAATAGAATGAACAAGGAATAATTTTGTTTGGCATTTAGGCAAATAACTTGTTAAGTATTGATGAAATTGTATAAAAAATTCGCATCCAGATCTGAATTATTGAAACAAAGAGAACATGTCTTATCGTTTGTTTATTCCAAAGAAGCTTGGGCAATTAAAATATAACGAATTTGGCATGCTTCTTCCCCAAACACTTAAAAGATGCATGACCTCGGATTTTTTTTTGCTACTTCTTCTCGATGAGACTTCCTCGAACAATATATTGCAACTTTATGCACGTAATATACGACGCTAATATAAACATTATCTCTTACCTTTAATATGGAAGGAAAAACTCTACATATGGTAGTTCGACAGTTCTTGCGCAATAAATTTCTGGCGCATGTTGAATTGACGAGCGAGCTTTGCGTTTTGCGTGGCACGTTGCATGTGGGATAGTTTCTTAAAAATCGTAAACTATTTGCTTAGGTATTTAGTAGGTATTTTGTTCTTTGCTGAATGCTAGAGAACGGAAATCCTAAGTGCTAAATTGGTCAGACAATCCATTCAAGGTGATTCTGCTACGCAAAGGACGCAAAGGATAATCGTGAAAATAAGTAAGAAACAGGTCAGTTGGGGAAACTACGAGGCGAATGTCAAAAAATGGATTGGTCAATAAATGGACTTTTGATGACCATATATGGGCATAAATGCAGCCCCCGCTACTAAGGGTGAAAAACGGTATAACAAGCCGGTACTTGCGGTATCACGTCCACTTATTGGAGAGAAAAGGCTTCAGTTTTTCACTAGGAATTAGTGTGATTTGATTACATTCGGCGAATTGACTCGAAAATGGCGATAGGAAAACGGCTTTTCTGCAGGTTCTGGGCGTCACAATCAGCTGGCTATTCAATAAATGGATTGGTTTTATGAAAGAAAATTGTTAAAAGATTTAATTTAATTACAATAAACAAAAATATTTAATTCTAAAATAATAACTTAACTACAATTAGAAAAACCATAAACAAAATAATAAAAATAGTGGCATTTTTAAACCACGGTACTGCTTACATTTCTTGGCGCGTCTGTTTCAATCCGCCATATTTGCCAATCACGGTTTGACCTTGCGTTGTAACTCTGCGATTTAGAGCCGCCAGTTAATTATGCACCGGGTGAGTGTAGGTCTTGTGTGGTTAAAAAACATCATTATGCCTTATTTTTTCATTTGAATGCTGAAATTCATTGAAAAGATGAAGTTGTCTGATTTTATGACCATATATGGTCATCGCCCCGCCCACTCCAGCCGCTGATTGGCTAATCCAATTTTTGTTTGGCTCCTCGTAGTTTCCCCAACTGAGGTCCGTTGCTCTGAATATTGAATACCAATAGGTACCTAACTACTGTTGCTGATACTATTACACGATGCATATGTACGTCCCTACATACATACATACGTCCCCTCCGTGGCCGAGTGGATTAAAGCGCCGGAATTCGACGCTTAGCCGGTAGTGAGAGCCCGGTTCAAGCCCCGGTGCGGGCGGCCACATTTAGCTCCTACGTGTAATGGCGTGCGTGTCTGTGGCAGGGGCCGCACAGAAGCCAGGTAACGTGAGTGAGCGGAGGGGGCCGTGTCCAGTCGTGAGGGCACGTTAAACGTTCGGACAAAATTCTGCCATACAACTGGAATTGCGCGATCGGGTGGTGGGGTCAGGGTCAGCACAACAAGCTATGCTTAGTGCGGGCTCTGATTCCTCAAATCCACCCATTCAACCATTCGGACTAAATTTATAAAAAAAATGTAAATGTGGCTCGTTGTGCATTCATCATGTTTTGGGTTGCTTGTAAATATTTTTAAGTACCTATTAGGGAAGGTGGGCATAGTTCTGACACTTTTTCTTAAGATGTCATTTCCTTCATAACTATTCAGGTCTGGCAAATTGCAAATAACAGTGCCCCTGTTGGGCCCTTGTGTGGCTCTCATATTTATCATGAGTTCGCTTGAAATGTGAAAGTACCAGACGTAAAAATGTCAGGTCGGGTGATTTAAATATCCGAAATCCGAATGTACCCCACCCTTTGGCCCGTGGGATAAAGTCGGGAAGAGGGTGGGGCAGCTTCAGACAGTAGTCAGTTGGGGAAACTACGAGGAGCCAAACAAAAATTGGATCAGCCAATCAATGGCTGGAGTGGGCGGGGTGATGACCATATATGGTCATAAAATCAGACAACTTCATCTTTTCCATGCATCCTAGCATTCAAATGAAAAAAGAAGGCATAATAATGTTTTTTAACCACACAAGGCCTACACTCACTTGGTGCACAATGCACTGGCGGCTATAAATCGCAGAGTTACAATACAAGGTCAAACAGTGATTGGCAAATATGGCGGATTGAAACAGACGCGCCAAAAAATGTAAGCAGCACCGTGGTTTGAAAATGTCATTATTTTTATTATTTTTATGGTTTTTCCAATTTTGGTTAAATGATTATTTTGAAATTAAATATCTTTATTTATTCAAATAAAATTAAACCTTAAAACAATTTTCTTTCAAAACACCAATCCATTTATGGAATGGCCAGCTGATTGTTATGCCCAGAACCTGCAGAAAAGCTGTTTTCCTATCGCCATTTTCTAGTGAATTCGCCAAAATTAATCAAATCGCGTTAATTCGAAGTGGAAAATGGAAGCCTTTTCTCTGATAAGTGGACGTGATACCGCAAATACCGGCATGTTATACCGTTTTTCTTCCGTAGTAGCGAGGGCTGCATTTATGCCCATATATGGTCATCAAAAGTCTATTTATTGACCAATCAATTTTTGGATCTTCTCCTCATTGTTTCCCCAACTGTAGTGTCCTCTTGTTATGCCACAGTTTCATTCAGTTACAGTGTGATTTTACTGTACCCAGGTATCTGATGTCAAATTTCAAAATGTCACATATGTTCAGTCTGTGTTCACCACTATGGTAGATGAAACCTTGTATCTACCTATTGGGGACTTGTCATCCTCCTCCCGATACATGCACACATACTTACCTAAACACCCACAATTCTAATGATGCATTTATTTATCCCATGTTAAATGTTGATACAGTTATAGATGTGCACCTTACCATTTATTTCTTATGAAAGTATGCATTATTGTTCTATGAAAAGTTTGTCTGCATGGTTCTTGTGTTATCAAATGCTGTAGGCTATATTTAATTTGATGCAGATCACTAACTCAGTTCATTCTGACACACTGCTACTGCTTATTATTTTTCCTGAGCAATTTCACTGTTTTTCTAAATCACACCCTGCGTCCTGCGTTTCTCAGACGGCAGTGATGTCTGGCTCGGACGACGGCCAGGACGCGGAGAGCACGCTGTCTCAGCGGCTGGACCGGTGCCTGCAGCTGGTACAGGAGGTGCGCGACGCCTCGGTGCCCTCCTCCGACCCGGAGCTGCAGGTCAGTAGGTACCTCCTGCCCGGAGCTGCAGGTCAGTACATCCTCCTTGGGACGGTAGGTACCTCCTCCGACCCGGAGCTGCAGGGTCAGTAGGTACCTCCGACCCGGCGCTGCGGGTCAGTAGGTACTTCCTCAAACCCGGAACTGCAGGTCAGTACCTCCTCCTGCCCGGAGCTGCGGGTTGGTACCTCCTCCTGCCCGGAGCTGCGGGTCAGCAGTGGCTTACAACTCGTATCCGCCACCAGGGCCACAGGCTCTGACTCTGACCCAGGACATATGGTCACTTACGTACCTCCTGGACCATTAGCTGCTCATCCAACCCTGCGCAAACAGAATGGAAATATGCGTCTTAACCTAAACCTGAGCTGCCAGTGTCTCTCCCGTCCACGGAATACAAATCGACTTCCTAGCACAGACTATGCTCTTTTGCTGTCTGTCACATTTCTACATTTTCTTTTATATTCTATTTCACTTACATCCTACATGTCCGGCTATCAGAAAATTAGAACTTCTCACCAAAAGTATTATAATCGTTGATGAAAGCAAACTATCAGAATGACCAAAAACTCCTAGGCCAATCCTTTTACTTCTCCTTTATCTTTATCTCTCTCACCTCAGTTTACTGTATTTAGCTATAATTTTGCTGAAAGCTCCCTCTTTTTTCGTCAAAGTCTAATCAACCATATATTGGCAGGAGTACTCCCCCTCCGTCCCTCAGAGTACAGAACGCTCGGCCATCTTGGGCCTGGAGTCGCTCGCGGCGGGTCTGGGTCTGTTCTCACCCCTCAGAGTACAGAACGCTCGGCGATCTCCGGCTTGGAGTCGCTCACGCGCCGGGTCTGTTCTCACCCCTCGGCCCTCTCCTGTCCCTCAGAGTACGGTACGCTCGGCCATCTCGGGCCTGGAGTCCCTCCCGCTCCGTGTCTGGGTCTGTTCTCTCCCCTTCCCCCGTCCCTCAGAGCACGGTGCGCTCGGCCATCTCGGGCCTGGAGTCCCTCACGCCGGGTCTGTTCTCACCCCTCAGAGCACGGTGCGCTCGGCGATCTCCGGGTTGGAGTCCCTCACGCTGCGTGTCTGGGTCTGTTCTCACCCCTCGGCCCTCCCCCGTCCCTCAGAGTACGGTACGCTCGGCGATCTCGGGCCTGGAGTCGCTCACGCGCCGGGTTTCGTCTGCCGGGCTGTTCTCCAGTAACGAGTCTGTTGAGGAGCTGCCGACCGGCTCCCTGCGCTTCCTGCTGCTGCCGGCCCTGCTGGGAGAGCTCACCTGCCGGCTGGCGCACGAGGACAGGATGGAGGTGAGGAGGGGGGGGGGGAGGGAGAGGAGGGGGTGACGGCGCTACTGGGAGAGCTCACCTGCCGACTGGCGCACGAGGACAGGATGGAGGTGAGGAGAATAGGGGGGGGGGGGCAGGATGGAGGTGGGGAGGGGGGAGAGGATGGACAGGATGGAGGTGAGGAGTGGGGAGGACAGGAGGTGAGGAGGGGGAGGACAGGATGGAGGTGAGGAGGGGGAGGACAGGATGGAGGTGAGGAGTGGGGAGGACAGGAGGTGAGGAGGGGGAGAGCTCACCTGCCGACTGGCGCACGAGGACAGGATGGAGGTGAGGAGGACAGGGGGAGGTGAGAGGACCGAATGGAGTTGGGGGAAGGGAGGAGAAGGGCTGTAAGAAGGGTTAGAGAGAGGCAGGAAGGGGGGACGAGATGGGTATTTAGAGTCGGGTCAATAGCGGATCGGGGGGGGGGGGGGGATGAGCATCATGAAATTATGATCATGGATACTCAGATTTATTGTCACCCTGTGGATTTTCTGTCTTTTTTCATTTGTTGCATACACTTGAGATCTCCCGGTGACATATTTCATTTTTCATCTGTTTGGGTTAGTTTGGTCGGTTTTTCGAAAACAGTAGATAGGCGGTTAATAACCTATTTCTGCTTTATTCTCAAATTTTGCCATTTTTTATGGATCACCGGCGTGTATTTTTTTTTCCCACTGATCCGTCAGTTTTTAGCGCTGTTTGTTGCGCCCTCTCCTCCGCTGTGTTTACTGTATATGCAGATATCGCCAGGTCCTTCGCTTGCGGTCGTAGGCGGCTTTGGCTAGTGATTCAGGGTAACTTCAGGACGGTCCCGCGCCGCAGGAAAACTGCTGGGATTTCCGAGCGACCGCTGACGGAAGCGGCAAAAAGACGCTAAATCCTCCGTGAATGATTCATTGCAGATCGGGGACGGGTATAAGCCTGTTATGACCGGTGTGACCGAGTAATTTCCGCCTGAAAGGGAAAACGCGCTGAGCACTTTGCTTGATGAAATAGCGTTTGAGGTGTTTTGGATTGCCTATAGAATGTACGGAATGTCGTATAGGCATACTGAAGTTAAGTACGTGCTTCGAATCGAGAGTAAATGGAATATTTTCATCGTGATGCAGATTTCAACGATGAAATGCGAGAAGTTATGCAAACGCACCGAGCTTCTCTCACGCTTAAAGGTAGTGTGCCACCTTTGAAAGATTTCCCATTTTATTTTTCCTAGGAAAAGAAGCTTCTGTTTTTACCTAATATCGCAACAAAAATCAAAAATGGGCCTGGAATAGTGCCTTTTTCGCCTAAAAGTTTATCGGTTTTTCGATATGTATAACAACTGTAGTGGGCTGAGCTGCAAACAGGCGTCGGCAACAATCGCGAATGCGGCGCACATGTGACAATAAGCAAAGGTCATTATAGAGTTACGACGTACGGGAATGAGTTATCAGCTGTCTAATCGTAGACAACACAATGTCGAGCCTTAAACTGTAAGCCTGTATTGGTATTGTTTCTTTTATTTGGCTGTCGAACATTATTTATGGTTTGAAATATGATTTTATGTAAAATAATTGATATGGAAAAGCCGTCTCTTAAGTTATGACCCCATTTCACCACACGCAAGTGGCAGAAATGACAATGATCAGCTGACGCATTTTTCTTGGCCGAAGTCAGAGCGCGCGGCCCGACGCACCACCATCGCACCACAAAGTATGAGCAGAAGCCGCGCCCAAAGCCAGGGCCCCGGTAACGTGAGGTAGCCGAGTCGGTGCAGCGTGCGCTGACCCAAGCCGGGGCCGCAGCTTTGGGCGCGGTCTACCGCATCCCCCCGGGCTATCACATGACACCGGGAGGACGCGCGGCCCCGGCTTGGGTCAGCGCACGCTGCCCCGACTCGGCTACCTCACGTTACCGGGGCCCTGGCTTTGGGCGCGGTCTACCGCACCACCTAACAGGCGTGTTCGAAACCGCAGGAGATGATGATGAACGGGTTTATCGAAACTTGATTGGATGAGCATATCGGTAATAGCGATTTCAGTGTGTGCATTTATTGTTCATAGTGGTGTGAAATGTGGTTGGGGTACGACCGACAACCCGTCGGGGCGAATTTCGCACTGGGGTACTCAAAATTTGAAGAATTTAAGACGTTTCCATGAGTTTTGAAGGTATGGATAAGTTCTAAAAATCCGGTTCTCCTTATCTGGGCCATTAACTCCATACGGTCCAGGAAAGCTGGCACACTACCTTTAACCGCAATGTATATTTTCCTGTTGATTAACGCACACATTCCTATTGATATCCCCCCCCATTCCCTGTTCCACGCTACACTCGATCAGTGTCTCACATCGCCAGGGTACTTCGTTAGAGGTATTTCCCCCACCATCGGTTGTTACCCATTACCCGTCATTTTCCCCATTTGTCCTTCCTATCGCCGAGGTCTCCGCTCTTTAGGAACTTCCGTGGCTTAGGCTCCTGCTGTGAGGTATCAGATATAATTGCATGCATCCGGGCGAAGTTGAATCATAACTAGGATTATTTCGGTGTCGTCTCCCTGCAATACACCTAACCGTTTCACCTTTTTGCGCCATTTCCCATGACTCACTCAACCCCCTGTTTTCCCCCTTCGGCTCTGAGCTGACCGGTATAGCGGAGGTTTACTACAGGGACCCCCCCACCGCTGGTTCTTATCCCTCTATTATCCCCCTGTTTCTCCCCTCAGCTGATTGGTATAGCGGAGGTGTACTACCGGGACTGGTTCTTACCCCTCTGTTACCCCCCATCCCCTGTTTCTCCCCTCAGCTGATTGGTATAGCGGAGGTGTACTACAGGGACTTTCTGCAGCGTTGGTTCTTACCCCTCTTTTACCCCCGTTTCTCTCTCCCTACCTCCCCCAGCGTTGGTTCTTACCCCTCTGTTACCCCCCTGTTTCTCCCCCTCAGCTGATTGGTATAGCGGAGGTGTACTACCGGGACTGGTTCTTACCCCTCTGTTACCCCTGTTTCTCTCTCCCTCAGCTGATTGGTATAGCGGAGGTGTACTACCGGGACTGGTTCTTACCCCTCTGTTACCCCCTGTTTCTCCCCTCAGCTGATCGGTATAGCGGAGGTGTACTACCGGGACTGGTTCTTACCCCTCTGTTACCCCCCCCCCCTGTTTCTCCCCTCAGCTGATTGGTATAGCGGAGGTGTACTACCGGGACTGGTTCTTACCCCTCTGTTACCCCCTGTTTCTCCCCTCAGCTGATTGGCATAGCGGAGGTGTACTACCGGCACCTCCCCCACCGTTGGTTCTTACCCCTCTGTTACCCCCTGTTTCTCCCCTCAGCTGATTGGTATAGCGGAGGTGTATTACCGGGACTGGTTCTTACCCCTCTGTTACCCCCGTTTCTCCCCTCAGCTGATTGGTATAGCGGAGGTGTACTACCGGGACTGGTTCTTACCCCTCTGTTACCCCCCCCCCCCTGTTTCTCCCCTCAGCTGATTGGTATAGCGGAGGTGTACTACAGGGACTGGTTCTTACCCCTCTGTTACCCCCCGTTTCTCCCCTCAGCTGATATGTATAGCGGAGGTGTACTACCGGGACTGGTTCTTACCCCTCTGTTACCCCCTCTCTGTTTCTCCCCTCAGCTGATCGGTATAGCGGAGGTGTACTACCGGGACTGGTTCTTACCCCTCTGTTACCCCCTCTCTGTTTCTCCCCTCAGCTGATTGGTATAGCGGAGGTGTACTACCGGGACTGGTTCTTACCCCTCTGTTACCCCTGTTTCTCTTTCCCTCAGCTGATTGGTATAGCGGAGGTGTACTACCGGGACTGGTTCTTACCCCTCTGTTACCCCCGTTTCTCTCTCCCCCTCAGCTGATTGGTATAGCGGAGGTGTACTACCGGGACTGGTTCTTACCCCTCTCTTACCCCCGTTTCTCTCTCCCTCAGCTGATTGGTATAGCGGAGGTGTACTACCAGGACTGGTTCTTACCCCTCTGTTACCCCTGTTTCTCTCTCCCTCAGCTGATCGGTATAGCGGAGGTGTACTACCGGGACTGGTTCTTACCCCTCTGTTACCCCCTGTTTCTCCCCTCAGCTGATTGGTATAGCGGAGGTGTACTATCGGGACTGGTTCTTACCCCTCTGTTACCCCCTGTTTCTCCCCTCAGCTGATTGGTATAGCGGAGGTGTACTACCGGGACTGGTTCTTACCCCTCTGTTACCCCCTGTTTCTCCCCTCACTGATTGGTATAGCGGAGTTGTACTACCGGGACTGGTTCTTACCCCTCTGTTACCCCCGTTTCTCTCTCCCTCAGCTGATTGGTATAGCGGAGGTGTACTACCAGGACTGGTTCTTACCCCTCTGTTACCCCTGTTTCTCTCTCCCTCAGCTGATTGGTATAGCGGAGGTGTACTACCAGGACTGGTTCTTACCCCTCTGTTACCCCTGTTTCTCTCTCCCTCAGCTGATTGGTATAGCGGAGGTGTACTACCGGGACTGGTTCTTACCCCTCTGTTACCCCCTGTTTCTTCCCTCAGCTGATTGGTATAGCGGGGGTGTACTACCGGGACTGGTTCTTACCCCTCTGTTACCCCCTCTCTGTTTCTCCCCTCAGCTGATTGGTATAGCGGAGGTGTACTACCGGGACTGGTTCTTACCCCTCTGTTACCCCCGTTTCTCTCTCCCTCAGCTGATCGGTATAGCGGAGGTGTACTACCGGGACTTTCTACAGCGGTGCCGCGACTACGGTATAACCGAGGCCGAGATCCCGGCTCCCCGGTCCCGAGGGGAGGAGCCCGACCCCCCGGCGGCGCGGCACCCGGCGCAGCAGCCGCGCGCGCCCACTATGAGGGATCTGGCCACCATGTCCAAACAGCGGGAGGAGCGACTGAGGAGGTACCGCGAGCAGAAGGAGCTGGAGAAACAGCTGACCGAACTGCAGGTGAGAGAGGGGGAGGGAGGGGGAGGGAGGGCGGAATAATGAAAGGAAGGGAATGGAAGGGAGCGAGGGAAGCCAAACTAGTGGCTTTGGTAGTTTTATGCTTGTTAACTTTTTCATCATTTCACGCATAGTTTTGCGTCTTAATTTCCTGACACTGACGGGCGCCGATGAGCAATTAGATAAGGTCATTCCCTCCCCCATCAATCTCCACCTGACAATGTCGCCTTGTCTGTTAACTCCTTTTTCGCTTCATGATCAGTCATTATATTTTGACGGATTGACGGAATCCAGTTTTACTGTTGAGGCGCTGCTGACCCTTCAACCCTCGAACAAGGAAACCACAGAACAAAACATAGGCATTGCTCTCGATGGTGGTTAGCTGTGTTTGTCACAGTGTTATCACGATCACGATGTTATCACGTCACAATAATTGACGTCAGATAATTGTTGAACTCCTATCAAGGCCGGTCAAGGCTGTTGTTGATTCTCGCTAATAATAGTGCATGCGTACCTCGTCGGCCATACATAGTACGAGGCCGTCCCTTTGTCTGCTGTAGAGCCATTCTCGCCCACGCCCTTGAGCGGACATGCGTGCTCGTCAACTCCGGGTGCCCTGGCAACCCCCGGCGTTGTTGCCGCCTCGTAGAATAAGATAGATAGATATAATAAATTTATTTCATTAAGCAGAACACGTACAGAACAATGATCGCCAATTGGTGCAAAAGCAATCTTGCTTAAATCGCAGCACCAGTTTCGGCTCTTATGTGCTATCGCCCGAGTCGGATCACCTCACCACTGCACGCACGCCCGCGCCGCACCCGCAGCGACCGCCGCCACGCCGCCGCCACCGCCGCCGACCCGCCCGACCACTCCGGCTCCGGCCAGGCCCGAGGGGCCAGCCCGCCAACCCGATAGACTACCTGAACCGTCCTGTATCGGATAAGAATTTTTGAAAGAGCTGGGCCACCACTCGTTTGCCGCCATCCCGTCTCAATGTTCCGCCCGCCCAGTCAGTGTTCCCTGCGGGCGGGTAGACAGTCCCAAAGAGTCCGTTTAATAATTTGAGGAGCTGGTATCATGCGAATGACGGTCGCCTTAGTAATGCATATCCTGTGATATCTCATTAATCACCCTCCCGGGACTTTATTACCGGCTGTACCTCCGGGTCTTAGGGTCGATGAGCAATGCATGATCCATGGTGCAATCTTTGACGCACAGACCTCAGTTGTCCGTACTAAGTCGCGAATGATAACGATATGACTATTCTCATTGTTAGAGAAGTGGTTTTGCCATCTGAGCTCACGGAACGCACCTTTGAATTTTTACAGCCCCCCCCCCCCCCCCACACGCACACAAAATGAACACAAGTTTGAAAGCCTAGCACAAACAGTCAGCGGGCACGAGTGAGCACGATTTTTGTTTCACTAGTTGGCCGACCACCAGTTGCTAACGAAATTTTGAGGAACTCGTAATTAAGATGACTGATCAAGTTGTTTGGTCATGTAAACAATCAGGGATGTATTGAAGCCGGCTGAAATTGACAGGTTTAAACCAGCTTGAATTAAAAAAAACCACCTTCAGTCCAAACATCTACTATAACTGGAAGTCAGTACCGTGTTATTTGGTATTATGTCGACGTTTTGGCATATGATTATGTTGACAATCTGGTCAGTAGGAAACTAAGCTAAGAAACAAAGTAGGTGTAAGGCACAAGCACATTCCAGTCTTAACATTCGGTTTACCAATTGAAAGTCTCACTTTATTTTACATGTATGCATTCTGACCAATCGTCTGGGGCCTGGACTAGTAACACTAGAAAAACACAAAATGTCCCCAGAACTCACAAGGCACAGTACCAGGTACTAGGTAGCAGTACCTGGACACTGTAAGGGCAACGAACAGTAACGGGAAACTGGTTTCACTTTACTTACTGTACTCCAAGACCTATTATCCCATGAACCACCCATGTGAACAGTTAACTGTATAAAATATTGCAAGTTAGCATGAATAATTGAAAGGTGTAGATGGGAAATGTGAAGACAAGAAGCAGCATAGTGTAATGAAGCAGTTTACCGTCAAGTGATGTTACGAGAAGAAAACGTACATAAGTGGCATTTATTATGTTGGTGCATACTGGTTTAAACCAGGGTGATTTGATTTACTATGAACGTCAAACCCCTTGAGACCCCACTTTTTTGCGATAATTTTTAAATGCGTCAACTTTCGTTGACAATATTCTGGCAATGCGTGTTTCAGAACCTGCCGAAACTTTTATTACTAAGGTATTTTGACGCCAAACGATTATGGAAGGTACTTCTCATTCACTCGTAATGTTAAGGTCAATTCAGGCCCGGGCAGAGGCTTGCGCTCGGCCACACTCGAGCCCCGCCACCAGCGCCATCTGCTCTAAATACCATCTACCAGCGCCCGATACCGCTACCAGCTACCGCCCACCATCAAGCCTGAATGGAGCGAGAGACGCGAGTGACCGGTCGCCGGGCAAGGAGCGCCGGAGGGGTAGGGCGGAGCTTAGCGCTGACGTCATTACGTGGCTCCGCCCCATGAGCGCGTAGCCTCTACCCAAACAGCAGATTCGTTCCGTGAAATTTAACATTACGAGTGAATGAGAAGTACCTTTCATAATCGTTTGGCGTCAAAATACCTTAGTAATAAAAGTTTCGGCAGGTTCTGAAACACACATTGCCAGAATATTGTCAACGAGAGTTGACGCATTTAAAAATTATCGCAAAAAAGTGGGGTCTCAAGGGGTTTGACGTCCATAGTAGTTTATGACAGCCGGCTTAATCCATGGATTAAACCTGTTTAAACCGGCTGCTGGCATAAATTTGCCAACCCTGTAACCAATAAGTTGTCCTTTTCTGGGGGGGGGGGGGGCAATCGAGCGAGCGCACTCATGAGTCCTCAAGCGCACTCATGAGCACTCGAACGCACTCATGAGCACTCGAACGCACTCATGAGCACTCGAGCGCACTCATGAGCACTGTGCGTGCTGAAGTTTGACGTGGTGCCCCCAGCTGGCTTGTGCGGGTCACCCTACTAACTGCCCCTAACCGTCTACCAAATTCGAGCGCAATAGGTCCAGCCCCTCTCAGGATGCAGTATGATGTTCCACTCCTCAGAAGCTATCAGTTGACCGGAACGCTAAGTTGTTGCCGGTTATCACACAATTAAGCGTGTCGATTATGACCATTGGGACAAAGCTATAAGTTGTGAACTCAGCCCGTGTGATGCGGCACAGCCTACCACTCCAGGCAAATAATTGCCTGTGAAAAGTGGAACATCGTCCTGTAGTCGACTATACATGGGAACGCATCGCCCGCTTTAATGTTCAGTTGGCTAAGTTTAGTGCGGTTCGTCTAGTCGTTGTAGAGTTTGATATTGTAAATGGAACGATTATCCCGGCACCGCCTTGGCTATTTCCGTACCCACGACAGCCTAGGGGGGGGGGGGGGGTGTCGGATCCGACCCCCCTGTTATCTCGAGAACCAATGGTCGTATCGAGCCCCGCGAGGCGGCGTTCGAAAGGTCTCTACGAGACCTTCCCAAAGCACTCTTAAGATTTTAAGATTGAGGTCAACTTTCGGGTCAAGGTCAGGTCAAAGGTCAAATTCAGGGGTTTTGCATGATTAGGCTTACGGACAGCGGAATCGATAGCTGCTGCTCGAAACTCACCAAAAATGACTTCAAAGGCCTAGTGAAGGTACCATGTGCGTATAGGGGTCATACTAAGTACGGGTCAAGGTCAGGTCAGGTCACGAAAGGTCACGGTTTTCACTTTCTGCTACATGGGCGTGCGACACATGTTTTATGGCTTATTTTTCACGCCGAATCCGTTGGTAATGGTTATATGTGACCCCAAGTCACTGTGCTGGTGATAAGTGTGCATTGAAAGCATAAAAAATCAATTATACCATACATAACTAAACGAGGGCCCAGAAAAAAGGTCAATTTTTCAACTTTTTATTTTTGACAAAAATGCACTTATCTAGACGAGCTTTGTCCCAGGAATCTAGTGGTGCCATTTGTTTTCACATGCGATGTTCAGAAGTGCCTCTAATTCACGAAAATGCTTATGACGTCACCGTGCCCTATGTATGTTGGAGCTATTTTTTACAATTTGGGGGTCAAAAATCAAGATAGAAAGTTGAAATTTGTGACATCTAATGTTCTAATAGAGGTCTATAACATATTTTCCGTTTTTTTTGGAATTTCCCAAAATTTTGGATTTTATTAGCTGTTTTCCAAAAAATATAGTGTTTTGAATTTCTAGGGGTAAAAAACGCATTTATGGAAAATCCGAGATAGCCATTTTAAAGAACTCGTTGTGCTGCGTCTATTCATGTCCTTAATTTGCAATTTGCTTAAAACCTCGATTTTTGGCGATTTTTTAAACATTTACCATTTTTTGACTGAAAACGCCATGTAGTTACATCACTAAAATCGATATATCTAAAAAAAAAAAATTGGATTTTATTCTTAAAAATTGCACAGGAGACGTTAAATTGATGGGGGAGAAGGTATGCCAAGTTTCAAGTAGATAGCGTAAGCAGTTCATGAGTTATTCAAGAAAAACGGAGGGGGGGGGGTCGGATCCGACCCCCCCCCAGGCGGTCGCGGGTTATGGCACCCCTAACTTGACACGTAGCATAAGACGTGTCGTTGATCCAAATTAGTGGTGCCAATAAAGGTTCAAGGTTCTATTTGCCTAAAGATGTCCGAAAACTACGCTACACTCAACATAATTATTCAATTTGCTTTTAGTGTGCTATTAGCCAAAGGCGTTACTCATATCGAGAGCTGAGCTTTCTATTTGCAGTTGTTTGCCCAGTGCTGTCCTAAGCCTGCTGCCTTTGAACAACTAAATTTCGAATTGGGCATTGCCGGAGCTCCGAAGGCTTGAGCTCCGATTGGCACCACTAATCCACATGCATCAGAAGTAGTTGAGACTTGAGTTGGATTTAAAAGATGGATATAGAAGACCACTTGTCAATCGGTCGAGTCGAGAGATTGTCGAGATACAAGGCTCTGTTAACCCTCGCCGGCCTAGAGGGGGTGCGTTCGTTCGTTTGGCTCGCGCCATGATATCCTCTCCCCATTTGCCCCAGCAGGCGATACGCCGCTCCAGTCCTGACAATGCGACGGTCAGGGTCGGTCGGCCATCGATGGTGTCACCTCGGGACCCTGGGGACCTGTGCTGACCGGGTCCACACCCGTGACCTGACCTGTGACACTGTCTCCCCCAGGAGGCGATGACCTGTGCTGACCCTGTCCACACCTGTGACCTGATCTGTAACACTGCCTCCCCCAGGAGGCGATGCGCCGCCCCAGTCCGGATAACGAGACGATACGGACCATTGCTACTTTCACCCCGGGACACTGGGGTCCTGCACTGACCCTGTCCACGCCTGTGACCTGTGACCTGTGACGTCCCCTCCCCCAGGAGGCGATGCGCCGCCCCAGTCCGGACGACGAGACGATACGCACATACTATCTGACGCTGCTGCGCCAGGCCGTCGGTAAGGCGCTGTCCGAACTGCAGAGCCTCGAGCTCGAGAAGCCCATCCTGGAGCACATGCAGCACCTCAAGACCAGGTGAGCGTGAGGGAAGGAGGTGGTGACATTGACAACAGGACAGGGAGAGGTGGGGTTCAGGGGCCTGAGAGCCGGAGCGGAGAGCGAGTGTTGGCTGATTGTAGAACATAAATTCGAGAAAAAAAATCGGGTTAGATATAATTGGATTAGGGATGGAGTATTTCAGAGTGCCTGTGAACAGTGAACAGTTAGTGTTTCGATGTCCGTTTTGTCGATGTTTTTTTCACTATTTCACGTTCATGACTGCGTCTTTTCCGATGATGTTGTGTGTATGTGTTTTTTTTTTTTTTGGTACGGTGTTAACGTGGTCTAATTACCCTCCCCCTCCCCCAGGGGCGGCGCGGCGGCGGCCGAGTCGCTCCGTTCGCCGGCGTCTGCGCCGCCGCTGCGGCCGGTGGTGATCACCCGCACTAAGCTGGAGGCGGAGGTGTTTGGCGCCGGCTACAGCAGCCTGCCCACAATGTCCGTGGAGGAGTTCTACGAACAGAGAGTCAGGGACGGAGTGTGAGTGCGGGGCGGAGAGTGGGAGTTAGAGTCAGGGACGGAGTGGGAGTGCGGGGCGGAGTGGGAGGTAGAGTCAGGGACGGAGTGGATCGTCGAGTCAGTTACAGAGTGTGAATCCGAGTCAGAGTGGCAGTCCGAGTTAGGGACTGAGTGAAAGCTTGGGCATTCCACGATAGATCGTACCACTTTTTTTTCCAATTTGGCACCCTCATCTCTCGGAATTTGACGAGAATTGGTCTCAGGGGTAATCAGGGGCTCTGAATCCACCTGTAACAATTTCAGGCTTATCAGATAAGTATTTTTTGAGTTATGGTGTACAACATTTTTGGATCTTGCTTTGCAGCGCTAAGTTTGGCGGGCTGTAACTCTAAGACGGATTATTCAAACGCCAAATGTTATATAACATTGAACTTGCAATGAAACAGAGATTAATATGTATTTTTTTAGTTTCGAAAAATACGCTATTTTTTATATATGACATATCGAGTTTTCTTTCATTTGTATTTTTTGGACTTTGGGACCAATTTTTTTTTTGAATTTTTATTTCTTAAAAAAAAAATATTTGTCTCATTGTTAACCCGCGCCCTGGTGGGGGAGGGCTATTTTTTGCCCCCCTCCAGACTTTTTGATATATCTCCAGAACCGCTGCGCCGATCGTCACCAAACTTTCAGTACCCTCCCGGACATCAATTTTACACATTGTGACCAAAAATTTTTCCAAAGGCTATGATAGGTTGGCCGGAAATGACGTCAGAGTGACGTCATGTTCTGCCGTTTTCGACCCAAAAAAGGGTTTCGCGGGAACAGCTGTCAGGCCTATAGCTTTGCAAATACAGAAAAATGATAAAGACATAAAAGCTGTAGAATCAACAGGGCTACAAAACTGCTATCTCGGATTTTTGAAATTTTTGGATTTTGACCCCCAAAAATCAAAAATATATTTTTTTTGCATATAATCGAAAAATCCAAAAAGTTTTTTGAATTTCGCAAAAACCGGAATATATGTGATAGTCCTTACCGCCTTCCATCCACATACCAAATTTGAGATCGATACCTCTTTTTTTGGCGAAGTTATAGCGAAAAAAACTGTTCAAAATTGATGACGTCAAATTTTCAAACTCAATTTTTAGCAATTCTAGACCCCGTAGCGCAAAACAAAGACCACCATTAGACTCCCCGTGACGAGCTGCATCGAATCAATACCCATTTTATGCAAAACTATCAACTTTAAAATTTGACCTTTTTTGGCCTGACCTTGACCTGACCTTGACCTGAACTTCACCAGAAAGTGACCTAAGCCGTACCTGATAGTCTTATAACCAATACCATTGAGTTGGAAATGAAAAATTGGCCATAAAACATGCATCACACAACCTTAGTAAAGTTGGGCTCATGTGACCTGACCTGTGACCCTTGGTGACCTGACCTGTGACCTGACCTGGTATTGTCAGTGACCTCTAATAGTAATATATCTACTAGGCAACTGACGCCCTATCGCTGATTCTCGACAAAATGCGTTTTCCTCGGTGTTATAGCGCATTCCCTAGAAGACCCGTGAACGGTGAAACATTTCATCTTTGACCTGACCTGTGACGTCATCGGTGACCCCGAGGTCAATGAAATTTGGTTTTCCTCGACAAATTTGACAGGCCTTTCGAACGCCGTTTGAATTTTGCGGATCCGTCCAGTAGTTTCGGAGATACGAGGGGGGGGGCAAAAAATAGCCCCCCCCCACCAGGTCGCGTTATAAACAGACCCCACCAGGGAGCGGGTTAAGAAGTATGCAAAAAATTAGGAAGGTGTTCTTTTTATAAATGTATTTATTTTACGTCACGATAACGGTTTCGAGTAGTGATATTGGGAGGGGAGCTTACAAATTGCGTGGTAAAGCTGCCTAGTGACATCACGGGTTACTGAAATTTCAATTGAAGTCTGAGTCATCTGAAAAAAGTGAAAAGAGGGTTTATCCAACCCTCTTTCCTATAAGCGCGAGGGTGAAAAAGGCTGTTTGGTTCTGACATTGTTTTGGACGCCAATGACCATAGCTGTCCGAGATGAAAGTTACAGGACGCATGCATGGTGTCCTCCAGAGGTCTCACAACTTGTATATCTGGGAATTTTTTAAGGTAACATGAGGTCAGGTCGGTCACGTGACATCGCTGTCAAAAGTCAATGGGGAAATATAAAAAACTGTTATTTTGGCGCCGATAATGATCTAAAACTATCTCACGTACATGGTATCGTGATTTCATGCACTCCTTGCAAAGTCCAATGCTTCACTTTTGCATTGTTAACCTTGCGTGACGTCATTTATGACGTCACTAGGGTCGCACGAGTTTTTCGTCAATAACTCCCGATCAAATGGAGCTAGAGAGTCGGGAAAGCCACCAATGGACTCGGGAAGACCTTCCGAATCGAATGATATGCCATATGATACCCTTTGCCCAGCTTCGTGACCTGAGGGGATCTGACCTGACCTTGACCCGAGGTCAACTACTTAAGTTGACCTCACCCTAGCAAAAAGTATACCATTCGATGCGCCTGAGCTAGGCGAACACAATGATGCCAAAATTGTGGCTCTGCGGCCATTTTTTTGCGAAGTTATTTACTAAAAACCGAACCCGTAACTTCAGTCACTTGACCTGGCCTCTGACGCTACCGGTTAACCTGAGACCTTAACCCGCGCCCTGCTGGGGGGGGGGGGGTGTTTGAACACCCCCCCTTGTGGTTTTTCGCGAATATCTCAAAAACGGCGGCGAGGAGCGCCGCCGTTTTTGGTACACCTTATCATACATCAATTCTACACATGTTGTAAAAATTTCAGACCAAGGTCATTCAAGGTCAGGTCACCAGGTCACTTCAAGTGACCTCACCTCATAAAAACTTTCAATGTCTGTCATAGCTACACCGAGTGACCGATGGCTTTGAAACTTTCAGCGATTGCTAAGAGCAATAGCATGTAGGTACAAAATGTATATCTCAGAATTTTGATATCGATGACCTAAGGTCAGGTCAATTTTGCGACCTCCCCATTATAAGTCAATGGGAGAAAATTGAAATGCGCCTCTTTTGGATGAAAGACGTTATAAACACTCCCAAACACCTAATTACAAGTGGTTTAGACACACTGAACATGAAAATGGTGTCCGTGACCCTTGTTTATGCCCTGAGGTCATCTTAGGTCACGAATGGTATCTAACAGTTTTTCGCAAATAACTTTTGATAGAGGTATGCTAGAGCGATGAAAACGCCTTAGATGTGTTCAGCTCGTCGATACGGATCGACTGATATGCAACATGACCCTTTCCGGTCAGGTCATGGCCTTGACCTGAGGTCAAATTTTCAAGTTGACCTTTCAAGATCAAGTTGTAGTTCATTCGATGCGTCTTGTTGAGAGGAACACGATTCCGGTAAAGGTAAGCTCGTACAAGGCTTGGGTCAAAAGTTATTGCAGAAAAACTGTTTTCGAAAAAAATCTGTTATTTTTGCAGTTTTTGCCCCCTGCAGGCAAAACCGTTGAAGTTAGGTCAAATCTGAGAGAATTACTCAGAAAGGGCGTTAATAGGGCTATCGAATGCGCTTTTCCGGGGCGCTGTAGCTCTATTGGTTCCCGAGTTATACGTTGGCTTCTTGGAAATTTTCGACATTCGACCTGGAAATCGGCGAAATTTTGCCTTCAATGATCTCTGGTGACCTGACCTTTGACCTGACCAAAAAATTGACCGAAGTGATTTCGTCATCATTTTTGACGCTCTTTCGAACGCCGCCTTCCGCGTATCGCTACGTGACCCAGGAGCCGAGCTACAAGGGGGGGGGGGGTTCAAACACCCCCGTTGTAGTCGGCGCGCCCTTAAGCCCCAATAAACAAACAAACAAACCCCCCCCCCAGCAGGGCGTGGAAATCCAGGACCCCCAGCTGGGCGCGGGTTAAAATCGGGTACCAATCGCTGCGACTTGTAACGGCACACACGCTCGTTTTTTTCCGCGAGGCTCTAGCTCCATTAGAAGCGAAACGGCGTGCTGGGGTCGTATCAACCCCTCCCAAACCCATTTTGTTTGCGGGAAAATGAGGAACTTATAGAAAGAACACCTTTCTAATTTTCTGCATGTCAATTTACAATGACATGAAGTTTTTTTTTTTTTTGAAAGAATAAAAATGTGAAAAATTTTGGTCCCAAAAGTCATTAGAGGCAAATGAAAAAAGGTTAAGGTTTTTGCTCAACAAGGAAAATTTTTCTTTGGAATTTTTAAATGTTAATATTAATTTTTGATTCATCGCAAGCTTAATGTTGTTTACTTTTTGTTGGTTGCTTAACCCGTTCTTGAGTTATAGGCCATCAAACTCACCGTTACAAACCGAGGTTAAAAAAATGTAATGCAATATAACTCAAAAAGTTTTGATCTGAGAAGTCTGATATTTTGCCAGGCGTCTTTGGGGCCTATGATTTACCCTCGGACCGATTTTCATTAAAATCTGAGAGATGAGGGTGACGGGCCTGGTACGATCTATCGTGGAATGCCCCAGCTGTGGGTGTCTCAATCAAGCTAGGTGTTGGGATCATTGATGATTTTTTGGGGGACGGGGGGGGGGTTGGAACCTCTATAATTTGTGTGATGTCTTAAAACAATTGCTTTCGGTCGGAATATATGTTTTTGTGATCTGATTTTAAATAACTTATTGGGTAACTGGCATAGTGCCCATGGCAGTCAGTTTTCGCCAGTTCTTTTTCTAGGTGACTGTTAGCAGAATTTGTGTCCGGTTTTAACCGGCTGTGTCCGCCAGGTTCCCGGGTGGCTGTCAGCAGGGTTTGTATCCAGTTATACCCAGTTTTAACCGGCTAGTCCGCCAGGTTCCCCGGTGGCTGTCAGCAGGGTTTGTATCCAGTTATACCCAGTTTTAACCGGCTGTGTCCGCCAGGTTCCCCGGTGGCTGCCAGCAGGGGTTGTATCCAGTTATACCCAGTTTTAACCGGCTGTGTCCGCCAGGTTCCCCGGTGGTTGTCAGTAGTGTTTGTATCCAGTTATACCCAGGTTTAACCGGCTGTGTCCGCCAGGTTCCCCGGTGGCTGTCAGCAGGGTTTGCTGTCAGCAGGGGTTGTATCCGGTTATACCCAGTTTTAACCGGCTGTGTCCGCCAGGTTCCCCGGTGGCTGTCAGCAGGGGTTGTATCCAGTTATACCCAGTTTTAACCGGCTGTGTCCGCCAGGTTCCCCGGTGGTTGTCAGTAGTGTTTGTATCCAGTTATACCCAGGTTTAACCGGCTGTGTCCGCCAGGTTCCCCGGTGGCTGTCAGCAGGGTTTGCTGTCAGCAGGGGTTGTATCCGGTTATACCCAGTTTTAACCGGCTGTGTCCGCCAGGTTCCCCGGTGGTTGTCAGTAGTGTTTGTATCCAGTTATACCCAGGTTTAACCGGCTGTGTCCGCCAGGTTCCCCGGTGGCTGTCAGCAGGGTTTGCTGTCAGCAGGGGTTGTATCCGGTTATACCCAGTTTTAACCGGTTGTGTTCGCCAGGTTCCCCGGTGGCTGTCAGCAGGGGTTGTATCCAGTTATACCCAGTTTTAACCAGCTGTGTCCGCCAGGTTCCCCGGTGGCTGTCAGCAGAGGATGTATCCAGTTATACCCAGTTTTAACCGGCGGTGTCCGCCAGGCTCTCGGGTCTGTCAGCAGGGTTTGTGTCCCGATATATCCAGTTTTAACCGGCTGTGTCCGCCAGGTTCCCCGGTGGCTGTCAGCAGGCGTCCAACCCCGCCCCTCCGGCCGGCCAGCCGGCCACCGCAGATGACAAGGACGGGGAACGGGTAAGTGGCGTTACGAATTCAAAACGCTGCAGCTCTAAGGTTTCGTCAGACAATTACTTTTTCTTGTGTTTGATAGCTACAACGATTTTATAAAACAGTTGCGTGCTGACCATTTAAATAAGCATTCATTATCCTGGTCTTCGATGCTTCGATAATCACCAGCAAACAATTTATGTTGTCTTTTTGTGGACGCCCTATAGGTGTGTGGTGGGTTTATTGAGGGGAAGATTTCTATCCCTTGAACACTTTTTCAGAGTTTTTGCCCCAAGGTCTAGTAAAAGCGCATATCAACACTTCAACGCGTATGGTGCTGTGCCCTGCAGAAGTCTAGATATTCGTATCCTCTCTGCATAGTGCGTATGCGATTACCGTTGGCCCGGCTGGTGGTCCCAGCTCTGAGCGCCTCCCGCCCTTCCAGGACCGTCTGGAGGAGACGGATGACGCGGCCACCCTGACGCGCGCCCGTCAGTTCGACGAGTACAAGGACACTCACAAACGGGGCGAGGGGAACCGCCACAACAGGAGCTAGGACCGGCCACGCGGCACCGACGGACTATGTTTTCTAATGGCGCCGCAGGGAGCTACGCGGTGCGACGGAGCGCCACCTATATGTGACGGATATAGGTGGCGCTGGCACCCTGCCATCTAGTGAAGACGCGATGAACTATTTCCTGGTGGGGGAACCGGTATGCAGAGGCGGCTTTCTGTTATTTGCGAGGACCCGTGTCAGGTGCTGCCATCCCGCAGTGCTCAGGTGCAGCTGAACTGTGTGAGCGGCCGCCGGACCGCGAATAACGCGGCCGGCGTCGCGCTGCTGCCATCTATTGAAGGTTGTGCCAAACTCTAGTTCGCCGGTCGCCGCAACGACAGGTGGGTCACGCCATTCGCCATTCAGTGCAGGAGTGGGGTGAGCCGAGTGTTTCTGTGGGTGGTAGGGTCAGGCGCCGTCCTGCAGGGGCAAGATCAACACGTGAATCTTCTACCATGGTACAACCACTCCGCCAGACAGGCGTCTAGAGAGCCGTCGATAAATTAAACCGTACTGTCAGCATAATCAGAGTGGCCTTGAATTCTTCACCAGGCTGGGTTATTACACTTTGGGTCCCCGACTACCATACAGCGTCTGACAATTTGGAGCGTTCATCTGACGCTCAAAAGACGCCGAATCCTCCAGTCAGCTCAGTTGGTGCTATGACGTCACAATCATTGTCCTTGAAGAGCAATCACTTCTTTTGCAGAGCAGGAAGCGGAAATGTGTCTGGTGAAGCCCGCTAGGAATCTTGGGTTACACGGAAGGTACTATTCTTGTCTTCGCTTTGGATTGTCGAATCAGCTTGAACGGTTTTAGGCGAAGTAACGTTGGCGATAAATGTGGTGGGTGGGACGTTTATCGATGTTGCTTATCGTGCAAATAGTCCCCGTTGTCTCTTTTGCGAATGTTATGCATGATAGCCTGGGTCTAAACGGTGTAACTGGTGTTAGCACTTCCTTGTGCTAAAACATTCATTTGTCTATGTTAATCGCTGTAATTGAGCATTGACAAATTTGCTCACTACACACAGGTCTTCTCTCCTTATGTATGCATCCATCTTCGGTCATGTCTCTCTCTCGATTTTTCTATATTAATTTGTCTCAGTAGATAGCCCCAAATTCGACATGCTTGTACGCCACCAACGCATCACCGCATGTGAATTTCCACTGAGTAGCTGAGCGAGACAGTTCTCTCATTTTCCAACGACTTATCGTCATTGACAAAGAGCTGGATGATTTTCGGCGAGCGTTCTCGCAGCTTTGCAGTATCAATATTCCGGTACTTTTCTATTGATTCTTCTTGTATATCAATATTTTTAATAATTGCATCGATATATAAAGTCGTCTACTTCCATGCTCTTCTTGATGCCTACACAGGCTGAGGTTAAATATTTGGCAAAAGTGGTGACAATTAAGCTGCGTTACATGATACGCTGAAGGACGAATCATTTTGCCGTCTGGGTTTCAGCGATCGCAGCCTTATCGTCAAACCCAAAAGAGGTGAATGTATCCTACCTGCTTGAAAAGCGTTTGGAAACATTCGTCACCGTTTTGGTGCCGCACCTGGGCGTGTTATCCCCCATTTCCACCGTGACGCAGAGTAGGACTGCTAGGGCCGCATTGTTCACATTCCGGTACATTGCTGTATAGGTAGGTACCGTGTGTGCGGTACTCCCGAGTGGGTACCGTACTACATATAACTGTGTCCGCTGCAGGGGCGGGTACTGCGAACGATGTACCCCGGCATGGCAGGGGGGCACAGCCATGGTGTGCTGTGATTGGACACAATCGCCGAGTTGGGGCTAGATTGGTGGCGTTTGTTTGTTGGATGATGAACATTTCCCAGTGCGTCGAAAGAAGCATAAAATTACTCTTTGATCTTTTTGAGGTGATATGCATTCATCTAGTGCTCTTTTACTGACATCATTTATTGGTATAAAAAATGAGCTTTTGCGATTTGTTTTTTGGTCTTGCCACACCGAACTATATCATTATGCTTTTGATATGAAATGATTTTCATCTGCCCAGAATGAAGCTTTGACCTCTATCGAGACCACAGTGTCGTCAGTCGGTGTTGAACACTGTGTGCCCTTGTCCCAGATCTGAGTTGTGTGAGGGCCGTCCCACTGCTGGCTTTTGCTGAGGGCTGTCCCACTACTGGGTTTTGCTGAGGGCTGTCCCACTACTGGCTTTTGCTGCACCGTACCGGAGTACCGATGCGGAGCATCTATTGTACCGCGTATATCGTGGAAAACACTGTAAAGCGTACCGCGTACCGTGGAAGGCACAGCGGCCCTGTCCCGCGTACTGTTTGGTACGTAACGTACGCCCGAGTACGTAACGTGTACCCTACTGCGCAACATGACGCACTTGTGCATACTGTACCGCGTACCGTGGCCAAACAGGGCAGTTCGTACCGCGTACCGTGGGCCAAACAAGGCAGTTCGTACCGCGTACCGTGGGCCAAACAAGGTAGCTTGTACCGCGCATGTATGGCGGCAAGGAACTTACTTCGTACCACGAAGCGTGGCTTATCTGACGTGTGTCGTACCGTGTACTGGAGCTCACAGCGTCGTGGTGTATCGGCACATGTGCTGTAAAGTAACACACACACACACACGTGGTGTACAGCTACCCGCACACGTGCTGTGAAGTACATAGCACACACACACATGGTGTACAGCTACACGCATGCGGTGTGCAGCTACAGGCATAGGTCGTGCAAGATTACACACATGTGTGGTGTGCAGTTACACACACATGTGATGTACAGTTACACGCACATGTGGTGTAAAGTCACTCACACGTGGTGTACAGCTACACGCACAATGCACATGTGGTGTGCAGCTACACGCTTGGCTGGTGTACCACCGTGTGACACATGGTTTCTGTGTGCGCTACAGCTGCCCCGGCTACAGCGCTAAGCCTGGGAGGGCGATTTCAGTGGGGACCTTGTCCCCAGTATGTGACGCCCGGCTACAGCGCTAAGCCTGGGAGGGCGATTTCAGTAGGGACCTTGTCCCCAGTATATGACCCCCGGCTGCAGCGCTAAGCCTGGGAGGGCGATTTCAGTAGGGACCTTGTCCCCAGTATGTGACCGGGCCGGCTACAGCGCTGAGCCTGGGAGGGCGATTTCAGTAGGGATCTTGTCCCCGGTATGTGACCCCCGGCTGCAGCGCTAAGCCTGGGAGGGCGATTTCAGTAGGGACCCTGTCCCCAGTATGTGACCCCCACCCTGCACCATTGACGTACAGCCTGCGGAAACGGAATCACCCCAACACCCCAAGTGGCTGCTCTGGACTTACACCCAACACCTTTCCCTGATGTATGATGTCCGATTTATGCACTAAACCGCACACATGAACTTGTGGCAAGATGGTCATGCTGGTGAGATTTACCATTTTCGCGCTCTCTTCATAGACTGTTTACCATCCCACTGCCGTTTCCCTACTTAATTATACAACTGGGTTCATCATCCACCCTTAATGAACGTCGCCGGCTGGTGCGAACCTTGAGCAACCGCTGGTTCAACACCCCACATATGGAACCCCGCGTGACTCGCAATGTCATAAACGCCAATAGCGAGACCCAAACTGGCCTCTGACTAATGTCACTGTCCCAGTGATTGCTGGCGTTTGGAGAGGAGAGAGAACAAGGACTTAATTTGTTTTCCAGTGTATTGCTATATTTTCGCGCTGCTGTAATGTAAACGTTTGGTGATGGACTTTTTGAAGGTATCGGGTTCCTGTGAATATTTCTATGCCGTTGTACACGTGCGAAGTTAATTGTATTGACTTGGTGTCAAGTAAGTTTGTAATTAAGTTGATGTAAGTGCTAGTTGTTCCGATTCGTTGTTGTTTGCCATTGCGTGCTGAAAGAGGTGAAGTTATGATTGAAAGGCAGAATGTTTGCGCAATGCACATTGACCCATGACGTGTTGTGTGTAATGTGGGTATGTTTTCTTTTGTTTTGAAATCAAAACGTCTGCGTATTCAACCTCGCTTTCGGACAAATATTTTCAAGCGCTTGGTTTTAATAAATATTTCATGCACTTCATGTCCATGTCACGGCTACGAACTTTGCAGTGCTGCTTCAGTAGCCTTTCTGCCATGCTGTCGCAAAATCGGTCGCTTTTTCAGATGTCGGTATTATAGCCTGTACCTGCCGTCTCACCATTTTGCATTGTGTCATTCCTCGTGTGCCAGCCGCTAGAACAGCAATCCCCCACTGATCAAACAGTTTGGCGCGTCGTCACACTTCTGCCATGGCTGCTGTGTGAATGATAAATGTGTGTACCATGGTGTCAAGTGGGATATGATTTTCCCTCGGCATATGTTGAGTGCGTATGGTGTATGAAGCTTGTTGCCATACGCAGAGTTGAACGGTGCGGTTGTAAGCTGTGATGATTTGCATGATTGTATTTTGTGATGCTTTTTACGGATGTATGTTATGATTGTATGCTGTGATGCGTGGCACGAGTGTAGGTATATGTTACGACACTGTGAGGTTAGTGCCATGCTGCGTGTAAGCTAAGCATTGAGCTGTGACCTATGACAATGACGACCGCCTCTGTCTCTCCATGTGTCAGTGCGTTGTCTGTATGGCCGGCCCTGTTGCACACATCAGTGCACTATTCCCGCCCCTTCTGTTGACTAGTGCGCGTTTTGGCTGTCTCCGCTCTCCCCTGTTCGTATGTGCTGGCTCAGCTGCCCAAATACATATACCGCCTCCAACGAGACCCGCCGTGTGAGTGGAGCTGTGCGCTGCGACTGTCAGCGACTGAAGGTGAGGTGCGGTCAAGGGTCATCCGGCCCACTCGTCCAGCGTTTCGGGGGTGGGGGCGGAACAGGCGTGCCAGACCAGTGACACCGGTGCCAATACCAACCAGTGTCAGACTCAGTTGTTCTGACGCCAAGGCTCGCAAAGTTAAAAAGGTTCTGATGTCGACAGACAGTTTAGGTGACATTGTACGCGCTGGCACAAAACCAACGGTAACGTGGAAAAATACTATGCCGTTATCCCTGACTTCTTGCTAGCACAAATCGTCTTTCATGCTTCGTTAGTGCATATACCTCGTCATGCAGTAACACACATGGAGCCCTATGTAGAGGCGTAGTAGGCATGATTACCTTCCGTTCATCCTGCTCCTATTCATACTTTATCCTTCATCATTCTGTACCGTCTACTGTAACGACATGGACGATTGCCGCGCCTCAGTTTCCATCGCACAAACACACCACCATTCACTTACACGACCTATGTCCTTTATTACAAACTTCACCCACTCACACACACACACACACACACACACACACACACACACACACACACACACACACACACACACACACACACACACACACACACACACACACACACACACCACACACACACACACACACACACACACACACACACACACACACACACACACACACACACACACACACACACACACACACACACACACACACACACACACCCTCGCGCCCGCTCGCCAGTGGCCGGCATTTGCACTGCAGTTGTCAGGGTTTGCAGCGGCAAGCGCAGCAGGACGGGTACAGGAACCAGTCGATGAAGATGCCCTTACAGTCATTATCCGGGTCGTAGGCCAGCAGTCTGTACCAGGTGTACTTCTGCTCACACAGACAGTTTCCGCTGCAGTAGCTGGTCGTGGGACGCCTGAAAAAAGAATAGAACACAACAATGTAGACGACAGACGACGATATGGACAACGAAGAGCTAGAGAGACAAAAAGACAGTTGTGCGTTTGTTGTTGTGGAAGATTTGAGTAGTGCGTTCTTTATCGTGGTACACAAAGTTCGTCTGCCGTGTTCGGTCCACATCGGGCTCTGGAAGTCACTACAACCTGGACCAACCTTGTGCTCAGTGACCTAACCTTTTGACACAGTTGAATGCAAGCCAACTTGCGCTCGAACCTCCGTCTGATGCAAGACTCTGATCCATTTCACAGAGGCCACACAGAGGCTAGCTCACACCGTTCGCACTGGGCTCAATATTGACTCAGTTATACTCACGTGCAGATTTCGACGCGGATCGCCTGCGGAAAGTTTTTCGTGTTGACGATCACTCGCACCTCCTTTGCCGAGTTCTCCGCCCAGAAGGGCGTCATTATCTCCATCCGCGACTCGCAGCTATCCACCCTGCAGCAGAGATGGGCGCAGAGCGGTCAGTCGCGGTTCGAATCTCGGCGATGGATAGGTACCTATATTTTTATAGTAACTGTTTGGCGTTACCGTCGCCAGAAATCAGTCAATCCGAGCATTACATCCATAACTAAATTTAATGTCACTTATTTAATGTCATTTAATGACATGATGTGCACCTCGTTAGTGCTTCAGTGAAATGCTATTTTTTACAGCAACATTATAACAGCCCGTACAATGTGTTCCGTACCAATTGTTTTTTCACGCCGGTGACCTTCATTCCCGAATCGAATGTACCCTATTTGTGAATGAAAATGCCTACCTACACATTCATATGTTTTATCGGGAGACCGGGTCAACACTAACACTTAGGTAGGTAATCTATCGTCTCGTGTATTCTGGACCAAATTAACCATTCCTGAAGGATACGCAGCCTGCGCCTCGTGGCGGCTGCTGTTTCGCTGCCCATACCGGACCCACCTGTGTTCGCTGTTTTTGTCAATGGTCGGCGGCGCCGGGATCGGGTCGTCTCTCTTAGTTCGCCGTCCCGCCGCCCGTGGCGCCACTGTCTCGTTCGCTGACCGCCTGCCGCGCCACGACTGAGAAAAGACGGATATGACGTCATTAGAGAAAGGTGTGAAAAAACCGACAGATATGACGTCATTAGAGCAATGTGTGAAAAAACCACAGACATGACGTAATTACGGACATGGCTGAAAAATGACAGATATGATGTCATAAGACAATGTCTAGAAACGACAGGTTATATGACGTCAAATTGACAACGAAAAAGAAGAGGTTGCGACGGAAGCGCCTGCAGTGTTGTCATGGATACCTAAATGCCAATGTATGTCAGCGCTGTCAATTTTCCGCGCTGACAAAGGCACCGAACAGTGATCGGAGCTGTTGGTTTCAACCGAATAAATGAGCAAGTTTTCTCCTGACCAATGCTCATTCATGCCTCGCTTCGTTCTCGAGGGAAAATTCGTAAACAAATCGGACCATGTGGAAGGATTGTTGAAGGGGCCAATTTGAACACCAATATTACCCGTGTCAACAAAGACCGACTGAGAAAAACTCTGAGCGTCTCGCCTCCGCCGTTGAGTCACTGCCGTTCTCACCATGGTTCTCACAATGGTTCTCACCACAGTTGCAGACCCAACTGACTACTGACGTCACGTACTGCAGGTTCTGGTAAAAACCAGCGGCGGTAAAAATCACCCGGCGACACGATCGTGCTATGTGCAGCGCCGAGTGTTCCTCAGAGGATGATCTCTCCGGTCCGCGGCCGCACCGCTTTGAAAGCGCCGGGTCTGTGTAAAAGGTCAGCGGGACGCTCAGAGGTAGCGCTGAGACGGACGCAGGGAGAGATTGAGAAACAGTGGGAGTGGCATGCGGGGTGTGGTCCAACAACAGAAATTAATCATGCTAGGTGAGCTGATGGCCAGTGCTCCGTGTCCATATTTAACCAACTTGAATCCTTATTTGTTTATCTCTTTGTTTACAAACTACTTCAAAGGATTGCAATCTAAGCATTTTACAATCACATGCACGAGACAATCACTACAATGAGCCATTTAATCAACAAATGCATATTCCACGATAGATAGTATCAGGTTTGCCTGCCATTAGCCAACGGCCCTTCCTCGGTCCTGAGATTAGACCGTGGCTTCGTGTGTTGCGTAACGTTCCATGAACGTGAACGACTGCGGTCTGGCGCACAACAGGGAGTGGATCAGATTTGCCACGACTCGGTGGAGCCGAGCTGGAACAATGGTCTGGCGTTCGGTGTCGTGGGTACCTCTCTTCAAATTATGATGCTTTATGGATCATGATTTGTTTATCACCAATATCTATATCACAATGATCCGATTACTTTCCTTCAAGGCAACGTAAAATGGCACTTGGTAACCGCCGGCGCACAGTGGGCCAGGCGCATCAAAAAAGCGGAATTAAGTCGAAAATCAACTTCGGTGAAATTCCTGTAATTATGGGATAGAGTATTGTAAAATGTCCAAAGTTTCCGAATAAGCAAGTTTCCTTTCCCCAATGTCAAGGCAGATAATGCTATAACGTCGCAAAGTAGGACTTACCGACTGGAGATGGAAATGACTGCTGTGTACCATATTCCGTTCCCCCGATTCAAAAGCTCTCAGCGTAAAATTATTAAAGTTATTCCGTACAAAATAGCTTTAAAAAAACAGCAAGTATTTCTGCGCATGTTTCTCGTACTCAAGTTCCCGGGAACTATTTCATGCTTACTAGTAGCGGTGGGGTTTACAGTGCCTGTTCGGAACCGTGGTAGTGCAACGACGCAATGAATTTATATAAGGATATAAAGAAAACGTCACCGAACAACACGAAGATATTTGCTGCCTGACTTTCCTCAAGGTGTATAGCTTGCTGCCCAATGCAAATATTTTGCGCATTTTTGCGCGAAATGGACAAATAAGGGTTTAACCCTCGCCGGCATAGGCCGTTTTGCATCCCTCGACGGCACAGGGGGATGCGACCCTCCTCGCGTTTGGCCCCTAATTGAGCTAGAGCCTCGCGGAAAAACCATCGTGTAGGTCGTCACGAGACGAAGCCAACGGTACCCGGTTTTAAGGTCATAGGTCAAATGGTGACCTCTGAGGTCAGGTCAATGGCCGAAAGTCGGGACCTGTTAGAACGTCGTATAGTGTGGCTGCTAAGGGGTTTTTCGGGATGCTGATCACGAATATCATGTTAGTTTTGATCACAGATGATGTCTTCATGCATTTAGGCCAGGTCGGGTCAGCTCAGGTCAGGTCAACCAGTATGGATCCTGCCGGGTATTCGTAGTAGGTGTCAACCCGCCTCTGACAGCTTCGTAACATGTTACGAAGGCACCAAAACTACTTCGTAAATGTTCAAATGGTTCCTAAATTCGAATTCAGCTCCAAAAACTAGCCCAAAAACATGTAAAACTCGAAAAAGTGAACCGAGGTCATCGAAGGTCAATGACCTGACCTGACCTTCAGGTGACCTTTACACCCACCCTAATGCATGGGACCAACATCATATCACATGTTTGAACGCTTGAAACCACGAAAAGACTGCAAACGCGCGGCCAATGCGGCATAGTGCCCGCCTGTCCCAGGCATATGTGCAGCGCAGAAATTAAATAATGACGTCATAGGTCAGTGACCTAGCGTAACCAATCAAATTTGAAAATGGATATCGGATTCGGCTTTAGCATGATATTTTACCCTGTAACGAATCATTTTTGGCACCGCAGCTGTGCTCATTGATTTAATTCCGCTTTTTTGAAGCGCCTGGCCCACTGTGCGGCGGTCTCGTGCCACAAGCCTTGACCAATGATCTGCTCGGTGCTGGAGCAAGGTCGGAACAGGAAACACGGCCATGAGATGAATGGAAAAGCTCGTGATGTTCCGGCGGTAATCTCTAATATACAGGGTTGTCGTGAGTCGTGAATCGTAACCTTCACTAGGGGTATGGTTCATGAGACATTTGGAAAAGGCGCACTACCGTCTTGACCCGGTGATTTCCTTTTTTTCTTGTTACACTGCACCCGAGGATGGCACGTTTGTCACGTGTTTATCCGGCAGTTGCGGCTCCGTTCAACCGGCAGATAAGGCTGACTTGCAAGCCTGTCCCTGGTCACCCGTACAGGACGGGATGAGCTACGGGCTTACACGACAGATTATGTTGCGACTCTGCTGTTGGGATTGTCACAACCCTGGCCTGAAACTGCCACAGAAAAGTCGACAGTGGAATCGGGCCAAATCTTCAGGGCAAGATGCCGTCGGCACGTGAACAAGGAAAGTGGGCTCGTAAAAAGAAATTTGAGAGTTGAAAAAGAAATGTTTGTGATGACATATAACTAGGGCATGAGTAGTCATCTACATAAATGCCGAGATTGGGCTATTAGTTTAAATGAAATAAGTGATATTTAAGTACGCTGCTCGGTACCACCTTTTATTTTTGAAAGAAAGCTACTGATAACGGTAAATCTTCTGATATTTCCTAAGTTTTCGAGTAAAAACGAGAGTCTTGTAGGGCTCTGGGCAAAACACTTAGCTCGTTTTAAATTATATGTATTGCTGTTTCCTTAGCAGGTTGAAGATAAAGAGGCCTTTATACTGGTTTTAACTCATCAATTTACCGAGATTTAGTTAAAAGAAGGACATTGCGAGTGATTAGATCTGATTACTGGACCTCGTGTTAAGTGGGAGACTTTATTCAAAAAGTATAAATAACGGCCATGGTAGGTACACGTTAGAGTTGTCAGACGGTGTGGTGACACCCGGACATGCAAGGCTGTGAAACATTGTATGCATTTGGTATGCACTTTGCACTATGCGCGCCTCATATTGTCTGGTATTGAGCCTGGTTGAGCGATACGGAGAAAACAACACATGACAAAACCACTACCGGTTGCCGATAACTAACTCTTGATCCATAAAATACATCAAAGTGTACTTTACGCCCTAACCACACCGTTTAGAAGAGGGTGAAGAGGGATTGGGATCGAAGGGCATGTGATGTGCCAGTTGTAGGCTTTCGTTTTTTTTTTTATTAACTGTTGTACTACATCCACTACCTAAATCATAGTTTATAACTTCATATAATTGATTACACGCCTTGGTTACGTCCGCAAATGCTTTATAAAACCGTTGGGGTGTGAATTGCAACTACATTATTTAAATGCAAAATGCAAATGCGTATATTTGGATGTAAAACTGAACGTCGTCGTATTTTTTGCCGTTTTATGAAATCGGCCGCTTGATATCCGCGATTCTCACGGCGGAGACATTGCATGAACCTTAGCGAGCACAAGTATTGCGGTGAACACTGAGCTCGACACCGCTTTACGCAACGGTCAGGCTTTACGGGGTGGGCCGGGCCGCTTATAATGCTGAGAAGGGATGAGACGCACCAGGAATTATAATTCACCTAAAACTGGGGTGCCATGCTGCAGGCTTATTTTGGAGCGTGAAGAGGTAGCGCAAAGGTCACCTAAATACGGAAAGGAATGCTGGAACTATGTTTCAAATGGCGACTTAGGTGACTGGCTGATTTGCTTTTTTTTCGTGCTAAGGAACAAGGTCATGATTTCTTAATGTGGTTATTTGATCAAATGTAACAGTTTTTCTTCTTCTGAAATTAGTTTAGGGATCTGAGAGAAATAAAGCCCAGGTATTAGGTATAGAGCACAACGAGGCCCATGGAAGCGCAGGCATAGTGCGATACGATTTGGCCAAAGCCGTTCCATTATCAATTTACACGAGTCAATGCTTCCCTGGTACGCCTGCTGAACGGTTATCAGCCTGAGACGAAGGAGGCGAAACTGGTTACGTAGAACGTTGTACGCGAATTTCAATGGATCGTGACGATTCTACATTACACTGACATGGCGCCTTCAAACACTGGGGACAGGGCCGGCACTTCCCTCGAAAACCAACGACCCTCCGAATTTAGTCCGAAACCGGTGCTCATAACTTACCTACACTACACTATACACTAGCCTGAAGGCTGAAGAAACGGGGACATCCATGAAGCTTCTTGCTGTATGAATTTGCATAAAACAGCTATAATTGAAACACATCCGAAATGCAAAATGTCATTGAATTAATCAGGGATCAGGAGTCAGGACACAGATTAGGACGCAAACGATTTTGAGTCCAACTAAAAGCTATAGGTATTGAAGAAAATATAACTCAAAACGCTACGCCGGCTGCCTCACCGTCCGGGTAGAGTAGTGGACTCACCGTCAGGGTAGAGTAGTGGACCCGCTGCACCGTGTGGAGTAGTGGACTCACCGTCCGGGTAGAGTAGTGGACTCGCTGTACCGTATGGAGTAGTGGACTCACCGTCCGGGTGGAGTAGTGGACCCGCTGTACCGTGTGGAGTAGTGGACTCACCGTCCGGGTAGAGTAGTGGACCCGCTGTACTGTGTAGAGTAGTGGACCCGCTGTACGGTGTGGAGTAGTGGACCCGCTGTACGGTGTGGAGTAGTGGACCCGCTGTACCGTGTGGAGTAGTGGACCCGCTGTACCGTGTGGAGTAGTGGACCCGCTGTACGGTGTGGAGTAGTGGACTCACCGTCCGGGTGGAGTAGTGGACCCGCTGTACCGTGTGGAGTAGTGGACTCACCGTCCGTGTGGACTGTGGAGTAGTGGTCCCGCTGTACGGTGTGGAGTAGTGGACCCGCTGTACCGTGCGGAGTAGTGGACCCGCTGTACCGTGTGGAGTAGTGGACCCGCTGTACCGTGTGGAGTAGTGGACCCGCTGTACCGTGTGGAGTAGTGGACTCACCGTCCGTGTGGACTGTGGAGTAGTGGACCCGCTGTACGGTGTGGAGTAGTGGACTCACCGTCCGGGTAGAGTAGTGGACTCACCGTCCGAGTAGAGTAGTGCACCCGCTGTACGGTGTGAAATCTCCGCATCCCCGGCATGGTATTCGGCATCATAGCGCCGGCCATGGTGACGTTCGTGGTGGTGACGTCACTGGGCGGCGGAGCCATGGTGACGTCACTGGGTCGCGGGCCGGTGGTGACCTCGGCAGGGGGCTCCTCTCCGAACATCCTCAGCGTTAGAGCCTTGTTCAGATCGATAAACTGGTCTATCCGCTCCCTGGGAAGACATAATGAATATCGGTCAAATAAGTGTTCTTGTTTCATTTGCCTAGACACAAAATAAAACAATGTGAAAAGTAGTGCAAAATTTGGTAGTCTGATATCATTCATATAAACCTGTGATATTGTATATTTTCCAAAATGTCAAAATGTCTTCCAAAGTTCCATCGCAATTAGCATTTAATTTCATTGACATGCTCGTTGCTTGTTGCTGCACAATAGTTCATGGTAGGTATGTATAATTACGCGATGTACAGCATTCCCTGTCCTATACTTACGCCGCGTAGAGCGCTCCCTGGTCCTGCACTTACGCCGGGTAGAGCGCTCCCTGGTGCTGTACTTACGCCGGGTAGAGCGCTCCCTGCACTGAAAACTTTTTTACCATTTCCTGGGGGGTAAACCCGCCATAGCATGGTAGCTTGACACACAGACGTTTTTTACCACCTTCCAGATGGTAACTTTTACTCTTTCATGGAGAGTAAACTCGTCAGGGAGGGGTAAATGTGACTAAGGGTAAGCCAAAAGGATATACTCTATGTAAGAGGGCAAATCACAGAGTAGATGGCATGCTACTCTTTAGAGGAGGGTCACGTTAAAGAGTTACCCTTCCACAGCGTGTTACTTCGAAAATGTTACCTTCTAGACGAGAGTAAATCAAAAGAGCTTACCATGCAGAAGATGGTAAAAAAACGTCTGTGTGTCACGTTACCCCTCCCTGACGAGTTAACTCTCCATGAGAGAGTAAAATTTACCATCTGGAAGGTGCTAAAAAACGTCTGTGTGTCAAGCTACCATCCTCTGGGGGGTAAACTCTTTGGGGAAGAGTAAGCATTACCATTTGACTGAGGGTAAGCCAAAAGGGTATACTCTCTGCAAGAGGGTAAATCACAGAGTAGATGGTATGCTACTCTTTAGAGGAGGGTCAGTTAAAGAGTTACCCTTCCACGGCGTGTAACTTCGAAAATGTTACCCTCTAGACGAAAGTAAATCAAAAGAGTTTACCATACAGAAGATGGTAAAAAAACGTCTGTGTGTCACGTTACCCCTCACTGACGAGTTTACTCTTCATGAAAGAGTAAAATTGACCATCTGGAGGGTGGTAAAAAACGTCTGTGTGTCAAGCATACCATGCTATGGCGGGTTTACCCTTCAGGAAATGGAAAAAGTTTTCAGTGAACAAAGCGTTCAGCGATGCACACGCGGTAAATAAACATTACGATACAACTTGAATGCAACTTAAATATGAACACTTAAAAGTTAAAATGAATACTTGAATATAAATAATAATAAAGCTCCCTCGAATTGGATAAGGCACAGCGCACAACATTTGAAGTGAACGGTAGCGTTCCTGGATTGTCGCCCGTCTACGTGGGATAATTAAACTGCATCACTACAGTGCATGACTTTTTCTAAGTCGCCAACAAAATGCATCACAACAAAATGTATGTACCTACTTACAACACTCTGCCACGTGGCCGTGCACGCACTGGCGGATCCAGACTTGCGTTTTGGGGGGGGGGCCAACTCCTGCAAGTAACCAAACCTAGGGTACCCCCAAATCCTGTTTTCTCATCGGATTTAGGCCACTTATTTTTTCGTCACAGCCCTGAAACGATATTTTTTTTTTAAACTAAAAATAAAAAATAGAAATGGTCGCCCACCCAACCCGAGCCTAAATATTACTTTGAAAACACTTCAAATTGCTTTTGTCGACCAATTAGCCCGCTCCGGGTCGGTGCGTGGCGCAGCCTTCGCGGGCTGGGAGGTGTCGGTTGGACCCCCTGCCGTTCGGCCCCTGATTAAGCTAGAGCTCGCGGAAAAAAACAGGCGTGTTGCCCGTGAGTGACGAGACGAAGCCGATGATACCCGATTTTAAGGTCCTTGGTCATTGGTTGACCTTCCAGGGCGGTGTTTCACGGTCGTGCTGACAGCCGCTGACAGCGCATTCCGCGAGCTAAGGTCAGCCTTCGGTAGTGTTGTGGGTATAGGCTTGTTGATGTCTCCATTGAAACCAAAAGTGCCATCAGCGCTGGCAGCGGCTGGCAGCGTGCCGTGAAACACCGCCCAGGTCAGGTCACAGACCCAAAAGACGGGAAAATCAGGACCTGTCAGAACCTCCTAAAGTAAGGCTGTAATACGTTTTTTTTTGTGCTGATCACAAATTTCATGTTAGTTTGGATCATAGATAATGTCTTCATGCGTTTAGACCATGTCGGGGCAGGTCAGGTCAGATCAACCAGTAGGAGTACTTATGGGCGTCCGTATAGCAGGTGTCCACTACCACTGGCAGCTACGTAACATGATACGAAGGCATCAAAACTACTTCGTAAATGTTCAAATGGTTGCAAAATGCTAAATTCAAAATCAGCTAAACGAAACTATCCTAGAAACATGTTAAACTCGGAAAAGTGCACCGAGGTCATCAAAGGTCAATGACCTGACTTGACCGTAAGGTGACATTGGCATCCGCCCTAATGCGTGGGAGCAACATCATATCACATGTTTGAGCGTTTTAAACCACGAAAAGACTATAAAAGCGCGGATAATGTGAGCCGACATACGCCGAATCGCTATTCCGGCCAAACATGGCCTCCAACATGGCCAAACAGTCTCGAGAAATAGGCCACAAGTCAAAGTTCACTTGGGTCAGGGTCATGAAATTTTTAGACTTTGTCACCATGAGGGTACTAAAGTTTCGTCGCGATCGGCTTCATGATACCTTACACGATAACTTCACACGTCCAGAAAATCACACGTCCTTCACACGTCACACGTCACACCAATCCAGAAAATTATCGGCCGGTGTCATTGCTGCCTATCTGCTCAAAAATTCTGGAAAGAGTTGTATTTGAGAACCTTCTGCCAGCGTGTTTGCCAGCCATTCCTCCCAATCAGCACGGTTTCCTGCCTGGCCGCTCATGCGTCACCAACCTCTCCTGCTTCCTTAACCACTGCTGGTCCTCCATTTCCAAAGGCAAACAAACCGACGCCATCTACACAGACTTTTCGTCTGCATTCACGTCTGTCAACCACACCTTGCTCCTTCACAAACTCCGCTATTCTTTTCAAATCACTGGCCTCGCTCACACCTGGCTGACGTCCTACCTCAGTGATCGCATGCAGCGTGTCGTCCTGAATGGCAAGCACTCCATGTGGACCGCTGTGCGGTCGGGCGTGCCGGAGGGCAGCATTTTGGGCCCCCTAATGTTTTTGTGTTATGTTGCTGACATCCCAAAGTGCATCGAAACTGATTGTCTGTTATATGCCGATGATGTAAAGCTCTTCCACCGCGTAGAATCTACTGAAGATGTTGCCGTCCTACAGAGGGATATAGACCGACTATGTGGCTGAGCTAAAACCTGGAAGCTAAAACTCAACCCGAGCAAATGTCAGTGTATAACATTTACACTCAAGTCATCTCCTGTTCGCGCCGTGTACAGACTGGATAGTCATGAGCTTACTCGCTGTCATGAGGTGCGTGATCTGGGTGTTATATTGGACGCGAAGCTTACGTTTGCTCAGCATGTCGATGTGACCGTGCGGAAATGCAAGAAAATGTTGGGGATGATTATGCGAGGTGTCCAACTGCCTCGGTGTCCCCGGCGGGTCAAGTTTGACCATAGTGCGCTGATCGCCGCGTACAATGCCCACGTTCGCTCCATTGCTGAGTATGGCAGCGTTGTGTGGAGTGGCGCAGCAGTAACACATCTGGCGCGGCTCGAGCGCATGCAGCATCGCTTCTTGTCTTGGCTGGCATCCAACACCCACGGTCGCGACCTGCCCATGAGTTATGAGACGCTTCTTGTTCGATTTGGCATGTGCTCTTTGAAATCGCGCTTTATTCAAGCCGATCTCCGCCTGGTTTTGGGATTGCACCATGGACGGATCGACTGTCCTCACCTTCTGAGTCTGTTTGGTCTGGCGGTCCCTAACAGACGTTCTCGGCAGCCAGCACTGTTTCATGTCGCATTCGGCAGAGTGAACACTGTCAAGTCGGGACTTTTCATTCGCATTCCTGTGCTATGCAGCAATTTTCTACAGAAAATTCCGAATGCAGATATGTTGGCTCCGTCGAACTGCATCCATTCTGATGTGTGTGATTTCGCTCGTTCTCAGGGTGCTTACATCTGAGACAACGTATCGTGCTTTGTAGTAGTATGTAGTGTTTTTTTTTTGTATTTTATGGGCATGACTGCCACTGTAAATGGGCCGCTGGGTCTGTGGTTGGCTTGGCACAATACACAATACACAATACGTCGATCGAGAGTTAAAGGGACTATCCCACCTTTAACATGGGGTTTGAGTTGAGATAGCCAAGTTTGCGGCGAGGTTCAGAAACCACTATCTATCTAGGTTGCAACCCCCGCGGCCTCTTGGTGTTGAAGAAATTCGTTCCCTTCATTTGAAAATGGGCCTTGTACAAGGCCCTATCTTCAACATGGAGCGACCGTTAGTGTGACGTCACCTCGTTTAGTCATTCTGATTTAAATGGGTTTGTTCGTTGACAAATCGCTTAAAACCTGGTCTGAACTTTGTTGTGGTGCCTACAGAGTAAAAAGAATCAGCTTTATGACAGTAATGTGGCCTGGGGAAGGAGGTAATTTTGGGCTGTGACGTCACATATTTGAAAGTTTGTGTTTGGAATATGGGAAGCTTAAGATGTTTAATGAAAAATAAATGCCAGAACCGTGTTCCTGGTCATCCAATCTATAAAGTCGGGCACAATTTAACTGGTTTTAACAACATTTTAGAAGGTGGGATAGTCCCTTTAAAGCATGGATGAAGGAGAACCAGGGGATGAAGGTTCTTTCATCCATGGTTAAAGTGTGCAATAAGAACTTCTTGGGTGAAGACAAGACCAACACTTTTATCAAGCTCACAGATTTTTAATGATACGGTATTTTCTCTCTACCTACTACGCCCTTCTCACATTCATTTTTCTTAAGTGTTTTTGGGGACAAAAAATATATGTTGTTCCCCTTTCAGGCTTGGGGGCATGACCCCGTGGCCCCCCTGGATCCGCTAGGCCGAAACTAACTAGGTCGTTTTCAAACGGTCTGATATTTCAGGTCATAGTTTGCAAACGGCCGGTGTTTTCAGGTAGTTTCATATGGCCTGACTGGGCCAGGCCGTTTGCAAACGGACCGAATTTTCATACGGCCTGTAACATATATTCAGATTTCGACATCTGTCGTAGCATCAAATGCTGATGTGGCGCACTCAAAAGCCGGAATTGGTCCTTGGATGCCGTAAGGACCCTTTTAAGAAATAAGTGACCCGACTGACCCTTAGAGATTGGCCTGAGCTGTGACCGAAATAAGTCTTTTACCGTTTCGCAGGAAGGGACAAAAAGGTCCCTCATATGCTTCTTGTACAATTACGAAACAAAACAAGTTTTTTTTCAACGAAAACTCAGTGAGTTTTCCTAAAAAAATTATTGCGCATATTCCGTGAATGAAAAGTTGCCGGGTCATGTCAGGTCAGGCTGCCACAGCAAGTTTGTTAACTTGACAGCTCAATCGATATTTATGCAATGAGACCTTCTCGGGTGACGATAAGACATGACGACACTTTATGAAGGAAGCTAGTAAGCCCGGTAGTTTCTCCATAGGCGCGGGAACCGGGGGGAGGGGGCAGTGGTGGCAGCTTGCCCCCCCCCCCCCCCCCCCCAACTCTGGGGCCGTGCGGGCGGTGCCCCCACAACTTTCAGACAGAATACAGCTCCTTTTTGCAAATGTTTTCTTTTTTTGTTGAAAAAGCCAAGGGATGAAAAATAAGTGGCCTAAAACCGGCGAGAAAACTATATTTGGGGGATCCTAGGTTGATCTCTATCATGGTGTGACCTCCCCCCCCCGTCTAAAAGTAGTTCCCGCGCCCCTGGGTTTCTCTACGCTATTGAATCACGCTGCTGATTCTAGTAAGTATCTACTACACAACCTTCTCACATTAATTTTTCTTCGAGCGTTTTGGGGGGCCAAAAGATATGTTGGCCCCCTCTTTCAGGCTTTTTGGGCCCATGGTCCCGGTGGCCCCCTTGAATCCGCCAGTGGGGGCGGTGCCCCCACAACTTTCAAACGGAATACCGTCCTTTTTTGCAACTGTTTCTTTTTTTTGTTGAAAAAGCCAAGGGATGAAAAATAAGTGGCCTAAAACCGGTGAGAAAACTAGATTTGGGGGGACCCTAGGTTGATCTCTATTATGGTGTGCTCCCCCAGTCTGAAAGTAGTTCCCGCGCCCCTGACTTTCTCTACGCTATTGAATCACGCTGATAAAATGTCCGCAGAGGCTCTATAGGCGATGAACAGCACACAAGCACAATCACCAACGGCCACGTGGCGCCGCACCGACACTGCTCACACCCTCCCTCGGAGACCAACGACGGAAAACTGACAGATGCGCGCGCGGCCTTCAACCTTCAAACGGCCGATCTCGTTTTTGATTGGCTGATTGATACTCTTTCAAATATTATCTTCACGAGGATAAACAAGATCCACGCATGAAACGACCACCTGCACACGAGGCACGATACCCAGGAGGAAAGAGTTTTCGTCATGTCTAGGATTGCGAGAGTAATATTGATATTTACATGGTAATAACACTCTTTGCTGGCGAATAACTTCAATTGAACCACGTACCGTTACCATGCACATAATGGTAGCAGCGAGGTACCCTTTCAATATACTCTTATCTTGCGGGTTTGGTGAAAATGAATCCTCCAGGAGGTGGTAAAAAAGTTTTGAGTGTGGTGCTGTACTTACGCCGGGTAGAGCGGTCCCTGGTGCTGTACTTACGCCGGGTAGAGCGCTCCCTGGTGCTGTACTTACGCCGGGTAGAGCGCTCCCTGGTGCTGTACTTACGCCGGGTAGAGCGGTCCCTGGTCCTGTACTTACGCCGGGTAGAGCGGTCCCTGGTGCTGTACTTACGCCGGGTAGAGCGGTCCCTGGTGCTTGCAGTACAGCTGGTTGAGTCGCTCCCTGGTCCTGTACTTACGCCGGGTAGAGCGGTCCCTGGTCCTGTACTTTCGCCGGGTAGAGCGGTCCCTGGTCCTGTACTTTCGCCGGGTAGAGCGCTCCCTGGTCCTGTACTTACGCCGGGTAGAGCGGTCCCTGGTGCTTGCAGTACAGCTGGTTGAGCCGCTGGACGCAGGGCAGGTCGGCCACTGAGAACGACCTCCCCCTGTCCACCATCAGGTACAGCGAGACGAGCACCTGTGGAAGGGCGGGCCCGTCACTCAGGTGTGTGGCAATCTAGGTCTAGGTGGCACTCAGTTGCCGCTTTTTGCCAGCGTAAGAACATTTGGTGCCAGCTGCATCGAGTGACGTCATCATATGTATTCTGGTCATTCTGGTAGATACAACCGTCACGTATTCACCGAGCAAAAACTGAATTTCTTTTTTTGCTGTTGCCTGTTGGAATTGCTAGGCCAGACGCATAATTTGCCAAAACACACGTGACAGCTCCAATAACCTTCCAGGCGGTGGGGGGGCATTTTTTTTTGCCCCCCGTTTAGTTTTTTTTCGATATATCTCGAGAACCGCTGCGCCGATCGTCACCAAACTTTCGGTACCCTCCCGTGAACAGCTATTGAACATTGTGACCAAAAATTTTCCAAAGGCGATGATAGGTTGGACGCTAATGACGTCAGAGTGACGTCATTTGTGCCATTTTCGACAAAAAAGGTTTCGCAAGAAGAGCTGTCAGGCCTACAGCTTTAGAGATACAGAAAAATGTTTCAGCATAAAAGGTGTAGAATTTGGAGGGCCACAAAACTGCGATATTGGATTTTTACATTTTTGGATTTTGACCCCAAAAATAAAAAAAAATATATTTTTTTAATATAATAGCCTAAAAATCCAAAAAAATTGAATTTCAATAAAACCGGAAAATATGTGATAGTCCCTACCGCCTTCTATCTACATACCAAGTTTGAGATCGATACCTCTTTTTTGGGCCAAGTTATAGCGAAAAAAAAACTGTTCAAAATTGATGATGTCAAATTTTCAAACTCAATTTTTAGCAATTCAAGACCTCGTAGCGCAAAACAAAGACCACCATTAGACTCCCCGTGACCAGCTGCATCGAATCAATACCTATTTTATGCAAAAATATCAACTTTGAAATTTGACCTTTTTTTAACTGACCTTGACCTGACCTCCACCAGAAAGTGACCTAAACCGTACCTGATTGTCTTATAACCAACACCATTCAGTTGGAAATGAAAAACTGGCCATAAAACATGCATCGCACAACCTTAGTAAAGTTGGGTTCATGAGCTGACCCTTGGTGACCTGACCTGTGACCTGACCTGGTATGACCAGTGACCTCTAATAGCAACATATGTACTAGAAAACCGACGCCCTATCGCTGATTTTCGACAAAATGCGTTTTACTCGATGTTATAGCGCTTTCCCTAGAAGCCCCGTGAACGGTGAAACATTTTATCTTTGACCTGACCTGTGACGTCATCGGTGACCCTGAGGTCAATGAAATTTGGTTTCCTTCAACAAATTTGACAGGGCTATCAAACGCCGTTTGAATCTTCCGGATCCGTCCAGTAGTTTCGGAGATACGGGGGGGGGGGGAAATGCCCCCCCCCCCACCGCGCGGAAGGTGGCCGGGAGGCCCACCGCCTGTCGGGATAATTACCTTGATGCGAACCACTTCTGAAAAAAAAACGAATTACAGATTCGGTGCTCAGCTATGTTACCTTTCCAGCTCCGCTGGGCCCAGAAAGGTGGCAATGGACGTTCCGGCGGGGGCATGGCTCCCAAAAAAGGCATCCTCCAGCTTGCGATGCTTCAGATTGCGTTTTTTTTTCGCAAAACTATATAATCTAGGAAGCACGGGGATGCTTCACATGTCCTCTTTTTTATTCACCGGTATTTTGCCAATTGAAGTCATTTCTGCGCCGTTCTGTCTGCTGTACCTACTATGCGCAAAGCGGCATTATATTCAAACATTTTCTTTCCTTTCTCGTATATATCATCCGTGAACTATATGAACACTTAAGTGGTACTTTAGTCATCTTATATACTTTTACTCAGGTTGATGAATTAATGGTTAACTTTTCAGAGCTTAAATGGTACATGGCATGTATTATTATTTAAATGATGGCAAATTTTTCCACCCCCACTGAGGAGCCCTTTTCAGTGCGAAATTACATAGAATAGTAAACGGTGCAGACAGTGCAAAGTTTCACATCAGCAGATTGGGAATGGGAAATGAGGTGTTTCTCCTATCGTGTGTTCGTTGCCACGAGATAAAAGTAGTCAGGAAACCAACATTAGGGATGAATTGACTGCTTATTTCCGAAACTATCTTTTAAAACCGCAGACATATTGCGCCTCACGAATACTCTTATCACCTTATCGGATACCATATTCAGCCAACAAGATGTTTCCGGATACCCACTGTTAGAGAACCTATTTAGGAACAGGTAGTTCCGTAATCTATTTATAACCTACACTTACAGGAAGCAGCACAAACCTGAGTTTTCTAACCCGGGAACTTTTGTCCGATATCCTACTTTGGCCCCCCAGGCTGCACCGCTGTTTCTGGGTAGGACTGTTAGACTGCAATGAGATTCAGGCCGAATATTCCCAGAGATGGATTGACGCAAAAAGGCTCCAAATGTCAAACAATATATTCGTGTTCGCTAACAACCGCTTAACTGTGCAGGCACAGTGTGCCGATGTTAGGGGCGCGGGGTGCAATGGCAAACCAATTATTTGTGCTGTTGAATTGTTGATGTTGGGCGTTGGCATCGTTTTATTTTTCATCTTTGTGCGGCTACGGGCGATTGTAATGAAAAGGCAAAAAAGCTCAGCACAGCGTGCTTATCAGGATTTATTAACCCGCGCATGACTGGGGTATTTTCCATAACGCGAGTGACGGGGGGGGGAGGCTCTCCAGAGCCCCCCCCCCCTCCTATCTCCGAAACTACTGGGCCGATCGTCAAAATTCAAACGGCGTCTGATAGCCCTGGAAAAAAAACTGTCGAGAAACCTATTTTCATTGACCTTGAGGTCACCGATGACGTCACAGGTCAGGTCAAAGTAAAAATTATCGACATTTTTGCTAGTTCACAATTTAGGCTCTGACCACCGGACGGCCGGTCCGATCAGGCTCATTTTTGGTTTACACACTCTTTGACGGGTGCCTTAGATACCCTGAGGTTACAGAACTTTTACTTCGAATTTTTAAGGTCAAGGTCAGGTCATCCTAGTTCACGAAAATTGTATATCATGTATCGGTCACGTGACGCATGTTTTATGGTCCATTTTACTCGTAGATTTCGAAAATAGTGTCGTCTGTGTCATTTGAGGTCATCTTCAGCTGAATTTACCGGAGGTCATGTCACTTTCAGGTCACAAAAGGTCAAATTTTGAAAATGAAATTTTTCAACAAAAAAAAAGGTGCCTATCAGATACAGTTTGAGCTCAGTAACACAATGGTGCCATTGATATTGCTGTACGACGTCAAAAAAATGGATTTGAAAAAAAAACATAAAATTGTAAAATTTTGACAATAATGCGAATAACTTGGCTATTTTTGAAGATATTGGGCTAAAACTTGCAAATGTAGTTCATCTCAGTGTGTGTTCTATCACATATGTTCCGGTTTTTGCGAAAAGTCAAAAACTTTTTGAAAAGATAAAAAATATATATTTTTTGTAATTGTAAATACATATTTTTCAAAATTTTCAAAATATCGAAAATTCGAGATAGCAGTTTGATAGCTACGTATATTTGTAGTCCACTCATGCAAAGAAAATGAATCTAGCTTTTAAAACTGAGCTCTTGAGAGCGTTTGCCGTAATTCAGTGTTTTGCATGAAAATCGGCCGACATGACGTCACTCTGACGTCATTTCCGGTCAAACTATGGTAGCTAGAAAGTTGAAATTTTATCACAAGGTTTCAAATTGATGCCTTTGAAGGTACGGCAAGTTTCGTGTCGATCCGTTAAAGGGTTTAGAAGATATTGCTGAAAAACGGAAGGGGGGCTCTGTAGAGCCCCTTCCCCCCCAGTCATGCGCGGGTTAACATTTAAATCGTTTTTCTTAATACAACTCATGTTCCTCCTAATTGCAGGTAACAAATTCTGACGTTATCATTTTTATCCAATTTTAAACATGATTTTTTTGCGGGATCTGTTTTATACCAGTTAACGGTAACGCTGCATCCTTGCTCAAACGCGTATCCGCGGTTGGCCTCTAGAGCCACGCCGCGCCGGCCGGCACTGTCGAGCACTGACCCGACCTGACCTCGCCGGAGGGTTCGTGACGCCTCACTGGTAAGCCAGCCGCAAGTGGGACGGCTGAGATCCACTCAACGCGGCCCGGGCGAGTGAAGCGGACCAGCAGCGGTCGCTGCTGAGCACGTTTCCTCCACCCACCCCCTCCAACCATCTGCGCTGCTCTTTATCTACCTGCATTTCCGTACGTACTTATGTACCTTGTCGACCGTCTCCTCTCTTAACGATCGCCTGGAAGGTGAATAGGACATAAGGGAGAGAGAGACGGCCGGCCGATAAACAGCCAACACTTGAGTATGGAGCATACGATGCCGACAGCGTTTTTTTTTTTAATATAAATTTAGCTCGAATGTTTGAATGGACGGATTGACAGAGCCGGAGCCAACGCTAAGCAGAGCTTGTTGCGTAGACCCCGACCCCTACCGTCCGATCGCGCAATTCCGGGTAACGTTAGAATTTAGATGCCAAAGTTTAACGTGCCCTTCAAAGCCGGACACGGCCTGTCCCACTCAACTGACTTCAACTGGCTGCGGCTGCTCCCATCAACCGCAGACCATCCCCGTCAGGAGTCTCTAATATCGAGCGCCGGAGCGTCTCGAACCCGGCTCTCACTACCGGGAGTCCGATGCTCTACCAACTGAGCTACGTTACGGGTTTAACTAAAGATAACGCCCGTTATCAACAGATAACGGTCTCGCGACTGCCGTATTAAATGGGTAAAAATTCATCTGTCGGCCATCTCTCAGTCATGGGCCGGACGTCGGACATGTATGTGTCTAATCGTGCGGTTACCGACAATCAACAGCTTTCGTTGTTGACATGCTGTTGAATTGGCCGCTGTTCTTATCTCCGTCAGCATTTCTAGGCTACTTCAATCCACGCAAACAAAATAGTCACAGGTTAAACTATCGGATAGAGAACAGTGGTTAAAAAGCAATGTATAGTGCTGCAAAA